GCTCTGATTTTTATAATTTCTTCTCTTCTTTTGGCTTTGGGCTTTACTTGCTCTTCTTTTTCTAGATGTTTAAAGTGTAACATCAGGTTATTTATTTGTATTCATTCTGTTTTCCTGATGTGGGAACTCAGTGCAATAAATTTTCCTCTGAGACCAGCTTTCATTTCATCCCACACATTCCAGTGAGTTGTATTTGTGTTTTCATTTGTTTGTAGATATTGTTTAATTTCTTCTTTAATTTCCTCTGTGACCCACTGATTACTCAAGAGTATGTTATTCAGTTTCCATGTGTTTGTGGGATTTTTGCAGTATCTTTTATCATTAATTTCTAATTTCATAGTGTTATGATCCGATAGCATGCAAGGGATAATTTCAACCCTTTTGCATTTATTTAAATATGTCCTGTGAATTAATGTATGGTCTATTTTAGAGAATGACCCATGTACTGCTGAGAAGAATGTGTATTCTGTTGTTGTTGGGTGGAATACTCTGTATATATCTATCAAGTCCATTTGTTCACAGGTGTGATTCAGTTCTTTTATTTCTTTGCTGATTTTCTGTGTGATTGATCTGTCCATTGGTGTCAATGGTGTATTAAGATCTCCTGTTAGAATTGTGTTACTGCTAATTTGGTTTTTCATTTCTGTTAATACTTGTTTTATGTAACTGGGTGCTCTGGAATTTGGTGCATATATATTTAAGATAGTTATATCTTCCTCTTGGAGTTTTCCCTAACCAGTATGTAGTCCTCCTTTATCCCTTCTGGTCATTATTGCCTTGAAGTTCATATTGTCTGCAAACAGAATAGCTACTCCCACTTTTTTGGGGGTTCCTGTTTCATGAAGTATTGTGTTCCATCCTTTGACTTTTAGTCTGTGAGTATCTTTTTGGATGGGTTTCTAGTAGACAGCATGTGGTTGGATTTTGTTTCTTGATCCGTTCTACCAGTCTGTTTCTTTTAATTGGTGTATTGAGACCATTTACATTAATGGTTATAACTGTTATATATTGGTTTATTGTTGACATGTTATCTTTCTGCTGTTGCATCTTTATCTTTCTGTTCTGTTTAATTGTCTGCTTTGTTTAGTGGTTTTTTCCTAATGTATCTAGGCTGTCTTTCAGTATTTTTTGCAGGGTTGGCTTGGTGATCATGAAGTTTTTCAGCTGTTCTTTGTAATGGAAGTATCTTATTTCTCCATCGATTTTGAAGGAGTTTTGCAGTCTAGGTTGGAAATCATTTTCCTTTAGGATCTGAAATACTTCACTCCATGCTCTTCTTGACTTTATTGTTTGTGCTGAGAAGTCTGCTGTGATTCTGATAGGTTTTCCTTTAAAGGGGATCTGTCTTTTCTCTCTGACAGCTTTTAATATTCTATTCTTTTGTTCGATTTCTGGGATGGCGATTATTATATGTCCAGGTGTAGTTTTATTTTGGTTATGGCTATTTGGAGTTCTATATGCTTCATTGATCTTTATATCAGTTTCCAATTTCATGTTTGGGAAATTTTCAACTATTAATTCTCTAAATATCCTCTTGATATCTTTTATGTTGTCCCCTTCTTTTTCATTTATCCCTATGAACCTTATGTTGTTCTTCTTTGCATCATCTTGCATGTGTTGAATTGTTATTTCCTGATTTCTTGTTATTTTTAAAAGATCTTTCCTTTCCTGTTCACTGGCTGCAATCTTGTCTTCGAGGTCTGAAATTCTATCTTCATATTCATTGAGGCGGTTTTTACAACTTTCAATGGAGTTTTTGATTTCCTGTATATCTCTTTGCATCTACATTATATAATCTGTTTGTTTCTTATATTGTTCATCCAGGGATTCTATCTTTTTGTTTAGTTCCTCCAATTTTTTAACTGTGTCTTCTTTAGCTATGTTCAGCATCTCCTTCATTTCTTTTATCATTTCTTCTTTTACCTGAGAGATTATTTCTAGTTTGAATTTCTTTAAGGCTTCCCAGAGTTGCTTCTTTATTTCAGGTATTTCAGGTATGTGGCATGTATTTTCTTCTATGCACATGACTCCTAGGCTTTCTTGGGATGGTCTGGATGTTTGAGATTGCATTTTGGTCTTTGTCATTTTCCTATATTTTTGAGCTTCACATGTTGTTACTAGTGAGGGAGAGAGTTCCACCAGGCTGGGACGGGGTTCCGCGCCTCGGCCTGACTCACTGGTCACCAAGATTAAGGTTTTCAATAAAGGAGCACAATGCAAGGCCTCTCTCTGTTACAAGTGAGCCCTCACTTCAGTGTTTTGCCCCTCTGTGCACCCGTGGGAGCCTCTGGCAGGTCACACGTGTGCGTGCATGTGCTTGTGTGTGTGCGCGCATGTGCATGTTGGGCCTTTCATCCAAATGGCAATTCCAGGTTTGCTTGGCTCAGTCTTTGGAGATCTTGCATGCATGTCTGCGGAGAGAAGAAAATTTTCTTGAGGAATGCAGGTGGTGCAGAATGGGTCGCCATGGATATTAATAGGGGGCTGAATGTACAGGGAGGGGTTATATTTTTTAAACAACAAAAGGTTTCCTTGTTTTAGGTTTGCTGCCATAGCCTGGCAAAGAGACTGCTACCTGGACTGCTTTCCTCAGCCGCTTGGGTCAGTTGTGTCCAGTAAATCCTCAGCTTGAGAGAGAGTATTTATTAGGGTGTTTCTTTTTAAAAATTTACTGGTACGATGTAGGTATATATAGTAACCAAACTCATCATACAGAATTTGTATCTATACATGATGTATCTTGATTCCTCTTTTTTTCCATTCTCGTCGCTTTTCAAACCCTCTTCCTCTCCCCAGTTTTCCTTTTATTCTTTTTTCATTTTTCTTTCCCTCTCTACTCTCCCATTTTCCTTTTAAACAGTTTCTTCCTACATCACATTATCAATTAAACATTTTTGTTCTTATTTACATTTTGGGTTTCTCACACCAGAGAGATAATACAGTATTTATACATGCATACCGATTTATCTTGCTGATGAATATGGTCCATTTAGTTACACATGTCTCAGTTTTACCTCTCTTTATGGCTGAGTACTACTGTATTATGCCAAAAACGCCCATGTTTTTATTTTCCATTCATCGGTTGATGGACATTTGGGTTGTTTCCAACATTGAGCTATTATAAGTGCAATGGTTTGATGCTTTTAACTCTTCTGGGAAGACACCCAGAAGGGGAATAGCTGGGTCAAATGGGACCACTAATCATAGTTTTTTGAGTAATCTGCACACTGATTTCCACAGTGGTTACACCATTCTACATTCCCACCAAGAGTGGAGAAGGGTTCCTTGTTCTCTATAGCCCTGCCAATATTTATTAGCTCTTTTCTTGATAAAAGTCTTTCTTTCTGGAGTGAGATGGAATCTCAGCATTGTTTTAATTTGCATTTCTTGAATGACTAATGATATTGAACATTTTTTCATACATTTATTGACATTTGCACTTCTTCACCTGAAAAGTATCTATTCATCTCAGATGCCCATTTTTGAATTGTGCCTTTAAATTTGGTAGGTCTGTTTTTGTTGTTCTTTGTATGTTCTTGATAGTAATCCTGAGAAACAGCTGGCCAATATTTTCTCTCATGTTGTGGATTGTCTCTTCACTGTTGTTGGTTTCTCTTGCTGTGCAAAAGCTTTTTTAATAAAATGAGCTCCCAGATGTTGATTCTTCCTGATAGTTCCTCTGTGATCAGGGTTTTATTAATAAAATCTTTGCCTATACCAGTGTATTCAAGAGTTTTACCTTTCTATCTTTTAGCAAATTTGTTTCTGTCTTAATATTTAGATCTTTGATCCATTTTGATTTTAGTTTAGTGCATGGTGATAGACATGGCTGCAGTTTTATTCTTCAGCATGTGGCAAGCCAGTTTTTCCAGCACCATTTAATACAGAGGCTATCCTTCTTCCAGTGAATGTGTTTGGATCATTTGTCAAAGTTAAGGTGGCTGAGTATGATTGTAGTTGTTTCTACATCTTTTAGTGTGTTCCACTGAGCCTCAAGTCTGTCTTTTGTCAGTACCATGCTGTTTTTATCACAGTACCTCTTTAGTATAATTAATACAATCTCAATCAAAATACCATTAGGATACACTACAGAATTAGAGAAAACATTACTAAAATACGTTAGGAACCAAAAGAGACCTAGATTACAAAAGCAATTCCAGCAACAAAGACAAGGCAGAGCATTAGGATGTTGCTCAGGCTTGTACATATTTGGGGGTTGAGAGGAGTTTAGCACCTTATTACTGGTCTGGAATACCTTCCTGGTAGAAGGTGTCCTGAGGAAGGAGGCAAAGGAGCAGGAAGGGGCACAGACAGGGGTGTGATGAAGATGTATAAATGCACAGAAGTGGCTGCAGCACACTGCTGCACACTCCTGCACATCTGTTTCATGTTCATTATGTGCATGCTGGCCTAGGGCCAGGTGTGGACCTAGGGGCTGGGTAAACATTGTCAGATATAATGGACCTTGCGCTTGTTGTCATGAAGCTTGAGGGGAGGACAGATAATGACAAAATGCATATACACATGTGGATAACAATACACAAAGGTAAAACATACTTACAATGGCAACATACATCAGTGACAACACAGAATTCATGTGTACACAGTACATACAATAATACACACACACACACACACACACCAAACTCTGTACCTGACAAACTCTGTACATGACACCTAGAACAAAAGTATGTGAGGGAGCCTGTCTCTGTGAGGAGGCTACATTTTAATAAGATTTGGGGTCAAGGTCAGGTGGGTGGCTGCGGATGGCACTTGGGATGGAAGTGTCACCCTCTGTGGGTGCTGTGGGGCATGAGATCAGTGAAGCAGACTTGCCATGCACTGTGTGGAGGCAGCAGGTGGCTGTGCAGTTGGTGGGACCCTCCTCCCCCGGGCTCTGTAATCGGCTGCTGGGAATGGGCTGGGCATCTGGCCAGCAGTGGACGCTGAGCTGCTACCATGTCCTCCCACTGATTCAGGCTTCCTCCTGACTCTTACAGCCACTGCACGATTCAGCTCAATAGCCGAAAATGAAGATGCCCTCCTCAGACATTTGTTCCATGGGTATCAGAAATGGGTTCGCCCTGTTTTAAATTCTAATGACACCATAAAAGTATATTTTGGATTGAAAATATCTCAGCTTGTGGATGTGGTGAGTAATCTTTGGCACTGCGCTAAAACAACTCACATTCCTTACCACTCCTGTGTGAGACTGTTCCCCCATGTCTGACCCTTAGTAATTTATAGTGAGAGTAAATCCACTCCAAGAAGCTGGTGGAGGACAGAACAGGAAGTTGTCATGGAGTAAATGTTCATTGCAACACTATTGTTGTGGGCTCTGGGATCAGGGACAGAACGTGGTGCTAGGACAGGCCTTTCCTGACAGGGTAGGGAGTGGGGGAGAAGGGAGGATGGAGCAGAGCTTCTGTGCTGCTCAGCTTCTCCCTGTGGCACTCAGGGAGCTGTGCCAGCACCTGCAGGGAGCCTGGTCAAGCAAGGGAAGTTCTGCCCCCCTCCACCGGAGCCCTTGCATTTCCTGGACTCAGCCATGCCATAGTGTTCTGACTTCTGTTGTGATTATGTTCTTGGAAAAATCAATGAACTTTAACTTCCTGAATATAATAGAACTATCCTGATATGTGGTCCCCCAAATCTCAGAAGAATCCTCCCATGTGGCTCAAGTTCCCTGCTCTGCCACACATCCATTCCGGCTGGTTTGGTAGCCCAGAGTTCCTTCTACAAAATTATGCAAAGCTGGTCTTCAATATGGCTAACACTGCAGGGCGCAGTGGCACATACGTATCATCTCTGCAGTGTAGGAGGCCAAGGTGAGAGGATCAAAAGTTCAAACCCAGCTGGGCAATTTAGCAGCTTAGCAAGACTACCAAAATGAAAAATAAAAGGATGGAAATGTAGCTAGGCTCTGGGTTCAATTCACAGTACCATATATATGTGTGTGTGTGTATATATGTAGAATATTTTCTTCTCCTTTGTATTGTTAAAATATCTTCTGGGTTATGCAGTTTTATATAAATATTGCCATAATGAACTGCTACATGTTTTAATGATTATTTTTCTTTTTAAGAAAATTATGCATAATATGTTAAGATTACATACCATTTAAATATTCTTAAATTCTTTTGTACTTTTGAATACCAGGATAAGACTCAAAGAGCTTTTTCTAATAAAAAGTAAAAAAAAAAAAAAAACAAAAAAAACCTTAAATGTACAACTTCTTTCAATTTTAATTCTTTTTCATTATCATTTTTATAGGATGAAAAAAATCAACTGATGACAACAAATGTGTGGCTTAAACAGGTAAATTCAGCCCAGAACTGTATCTGCTAACTCACTGAAATGCTCCTCTGTTTAGATAGCACTTACTAGCGCATGGGTTTTGAGGGTAGAAGGGAAGCCTCTGCTGTTTTCTCTTCTGCTGCAAGAACTAGAGCACAGTATCCTGGTCCTCTGATCTCCTGTCTTGGGATGTGACAAGGGATAAAACACTGAGAAGATACATATTTCAGTTGCAAGGGTACCTGGGATGATCAAAGTCCAGGAAAGTTTGGACCACTCTGGCATGGTGACCCTCCCCTTTGTTAGGTGCATGGCTTGATCAGGAGTGGGTGTGCCAGTTGGCTGCAGGAAGCCATGGAGGTGAACTGCTGATGCCAGCAAGACTCAAGGACTAAGGCACAAAGCATTTTTGGAAAAGCACACAAGAATATATACTAGTTAACTGGTATCTCAGTGTCTGCTAACCACAACTACTGAGCTGAGAGAATTTGGGTGTGAGTCAGTCTTCAGCTGTGGTGCTAACCTTGCTTTGAGGAACTAGGATTTCACAGACCTTTCGCTGTCATCCACACGCCCGCCATGGGCCGTGCCACAGGTCCCTCAGATTTAGGACAGACCCTTAATTTATTGTATACCAGCTATTGCTGCCAGCTTTGCACCTGTCAGTGTGATGCTCCCAGGGCTGCTGCTGGAGTCAGGGTAGGCAGGAAGAGATGACCCCTGCACAGTGGGGCCTGCCTGCAGGCCCTGGGTACTTAGAGAATAAAGAAGCCATTCCAAGACCCTTGTCCTTTACAGGATCATTTCTATTTCCCTGACCTCAAAGGAGGGAATAACAGATGCTGCCCACCAGTTTCCGAGCAGGAGCTCCCCAACCCATAACAAATGTGTGTTTTCCAGATAGAGGCTTTTGAGTTTTCCTCAAATGAGTGTTTACCTATTTCCTGTTTTCTGAGGGCAGACAATTCTTAGGAGCTTGCTCTGGAGTTCTCTCTAAATAATTACTTTTCGAAATCCAATTTTACAGTATTTTGAGAAAGGAGAAAATACTGGTACCTGATTACACAGTTTTGGCTTAATTGTTTATTGTGTGTGTGCTTTGTTAGTAGTTCTTTTTAAAAGGAATAGTCAGCTGTTGCATGATATCCGTGTAGATTTCCAATATTCCTGGTGAGAAATTAGATCTAAATTATACAGATATAATTCTTTTCATTTGCTTATGCTGAAATACATTACTTATCTATTGAGGCTCTATAAACATTGTTTAGTTGTTTCTGTTGGCGGTTTGTAAGAATCAATGGATAAAAGAAACCGAGTGTCCTTCATTGTCATTAAATTTCTACCATGTAAAACATGAATCAGAATTAGAAAATTATTATACAGTTTACAACTTTCTTTTGGTAGGCATGTTAGCAAGTGGTGAAATGAATCTGTGTACTATATTACTTGCAAATAAAAATATCCAAGAAAAAGTACTGAGCTGGGGATTTATATATGAAAGTACATTAAATAAACATGTCTCATAGTATACCCCCCTCATTTAGAGGCTGTGGAATTTAGGGTTTTTTGTAGTTCATAAAGGTTATTAAGAAGACCAATATTTGAGCTAACGGGAGAGAAGAACCTAGGATTTTTATTTTAAAGTATAAACAGGCTTAGAAAGTTAACAAAAACAGTACAAACAAGTAAACAATAAAATCTTTGTGAACCAGGCATGGTGTCACCTGTAATCCCAGTACTCTGGAAGGCTGAGGCAGGAGGATCTCAAGTTCCAGCCCAAGTTCCAGCTGGATAACTTAGCAATTTAGTGAGATGCAGTCTCAAAATAAAACATAAAAAGGCATGGGGATGTAGATCCTTCATATCAACAGAAACAAAGAAAACCTTCCTTCTTCCTACAGACCTTTTCCCTAACCACTCACTGAAGTTAAGCTCTTAATTTCTGTCACGAAACTCTGCAGGGACCAAGGGCTTTAATACTGAGATAGTGGGTGTTTTTCATTTTTCTTGCAGTTTTTCAAACAAGAGAACAGGTTTAGACATAACAGGACGGAAGCCACAGCTCCCCAGGCTTTAGCTACAGCTTTGAGCCAAGTTACTCCACTAGATCACAGTACCGCAAAGAGCTCTCAGGTCACAACTAAAATCCTGAAGTCTGTTACCCCGAAAAAAGTAAGAGAAGAGGAACAAGCTGACAGTTGGCTGACTTAGGCTCCCACATAATATAAACGATGAGAAGAATGGGCTTTAACTGCATTTGATTTGCAAGGATATCCTTCTCTTCCCTACTTAGAGCTGCCAACCATCTGAATTAGCACTATCTATGTTTCGCCAGGACCCCTCCCCTACCCCACACCCAGAGGGAACCTGGGTTTCCTATTCCCTGGCAAAGGCTTTTTATGCTGCACTCAGCCTTCTTGCTAATGAAGACTTGCTTCTAAATTTTAGGAGCAGCTGGAGTAGGAGAAAGCAAGCTTCCCATGCCATATGAATATAGAGAATGTGTGCTAAGCCCTACCCTTTCACACAGACTGAGTCTGGGGGATGAAAATGTCACAAGGGACAGCAGCCAACAAGTACCAGTGAAGATTGTGTTATGGCGTAAACTGTAGGGGCCAAAGAGAAAGGAGATGTGGACTGGATGGCGGACATAGAGAAGGCAGCAGACCAGCAGGCCAACTTGACCTCGATGTCACTTTTGTACTTTTTATTTTTGCTGTCATAAGGCTAAAAGAATAAAAAAGGGCGAAGGATAAAATAAAAGGTATGGAGGGCTGGGCTGAAGCTAAGTGGTAGAGTGCTTGTCTAGTATATGTGAGGTCCTAGTTTGATTTTCAGCATCACAAGGAAGGAAGGAAGGAATTGAGGAGAGGAGAGAGGAAAAGAAGAAAATAAAATTGATAGTCTAAGAGAAGCTAACATCAAAGTTTTTTAAAGGTCTTAACTCTAGAGCAGCTAATAATCCTGCAGATCCTGAGCACTGCGCCGTGTGGTCAAGGAATGAGCTCATGCCATTCTCCCAGCTCCTCTGTAAAGTAGCTTCTGTTATCCTGTCCCCTTCTCTTTTACTGGAGGCTTGCAGTGGCCTGCTTGGGGGTTACTGCAGGGAACCAGTGGAGGTGACCTGTTCTCTTAGCACTGGTCCTGGGGGTCCCTTTCCTGAGCCTGGTCTTCAAGGTTTCTGGAACTTCCTGTGGAGCGTGAACAGATCACAATGTCTTCTGTTCCTTTCACTGAGACACTATGAGTGCAGGCAGGTTGCCAGATCCTAGCTTGGGAGATAAAGTTATGTTCAACCCTTCAAAGAGAGGACAAAACATTAGTTATATAAAAAGGAATCACTTTTCACTGTTTATGTGATAAACAGCATATAGAAGGTCCTGTAGTGATACAAAAATGACAGCAAGACAGGAGAACATCAGGGAAATTCTCAAAAGGAGATATTTACTTTGGATCTTACAGGACAAATGGAAGCTCTGCAAACCAAAAAGGTATAGACACTGGGAACCACCCCAGTCCTATTCCCCATAATATGACTCCAAAGTCCTCACAGCAGATCAAGCTGTCCATCCATCCCAGAGTACTGCACTCAGAATAAAGACCAAAAAGCCCAGTCTCTCTTCTTTCTTCATTTCCCTTCAAACACAGACCAGGGCTCTGATCTGTAACTGCACAAGGAATGCAGCCCTACACTGTTCTGTGGAGTGTATACACTGACACACTCAGGGCCTTTTGTCTGGCTTTGCTTTTGTTTTACTTAATTCTCCTGTCTGATCCTGTTTCCACAGCTTTCCTCTGGCACATGTAGACATTCCTTTTCTGTCCTCCCCAACCAAAGACCTTCATAAGGCACAAATCTAGTGACATCCAGAGAAAGATTTCCACATGGCGCTATTTTTATTTTATTGATTACATTTTACAACCCCATTTATCTTCCTGCTTTATGCTTCCACTGAGTAATCAAAACCCTATAAACCATAAATATATTATTAACATCGACTCATGAACACTCACGAGAAAGGACTCAGTGCCCTCACCTATTACATTGCCCCTCATCATGTTCAAGGTTAGGAAACTGCACCAAGGAAACAGAACATGAGACCAGCCTTCCTCCTAACCTCAAGTGCAGGGTCTTCACTCTGATGGTCTCATGTCAGGGTGACGAAGAATGCTGCCGCCCTCAGTAAGCACTCACTGAGCACCAGTTCCAAGCTGGGTGCTGTGCCAGGCTCTGAGCTGGGCAGAGTTGTAAATGCGCAGGAACAAAATTGAAAGAATATTCAGTGGCCAGCATCCTGTGGCTGAGACACAGGTGGTTCTCTTGTCTCCATGGCAACTGAGGAAAATGTAGCTGCCAGGAGCATTTTAAACCAGTAATATTTCTCCAAAAGCTGAATTCTGTTTTAAAACAACAAAAAATTCAGCAAACACAGTGAAGGCATATTTAGATAACCTTGGAACTGGTTATTGGAAAAAAAAAAAAGAATTAAACCAGCTAAGGAAGAGTCAAGCTAGCCTTAAAGGTCTAGTGTTTGTCCCCAAAGCCTACTATCTACACTAAGCATGGCACTTCTAAATCCAAGAATTTACAGGCCATCTTACTCTCCTTCCTTCTCAGTCTTCCTCTGCCCTAGGATTTCTTGTTTGAATGAACCCTGGTTAAGAATCGGGTGTGGCCCCAAGGGCCAATTACATAAACCTGAGCAAGTGTTCTACTTCTGACGCTTGGTCTCTTCATCTGCAAAACAAAACTCAGCTCCTAGGGCTGGGAGTAGGTCCAGTGAGATCACTTGAATCCATGTTACCAGCTCAGTAAATGTCATTTCCTGAGACATTTACTGAGTTGTCATTGCCAGCTTCCTAAACTTTTCCACCTTTAAGTTATAAATCACATTTCACAGTCTTAATGAGTCACTGGTTTAACAGAAATATGAAGCATACAATACATCAGGTTGTTGTCTTAAGATGAAAATGAACCAACACTGACTTGATTTTTAGACTTTCATATCTAATACAGATGAAGACTTCCAGAGCATCTCAGGGCAACGGCCAGGAATGCAGGCACAGGATGCTAACTGGCAGGGACCCACCTGGAGAAATATGCTCAAACCTATGATTGAAGGCTACAGCCTTGCCACAGCACTGACTCCTTGAGGGGTCTGTAACACAATTACTTCTGCGCTGAACATAGAAAGAGTACAGTAAGAACACATCCTAAAAGACGCCCAATGCTTGGCTCCTGTGTAAGCATGCTCGAATGTCTGGGAGTGGCTACGGTGAGTCCAGGGAGCACTACCCACGCCCAGAGTGCTCCTGTCCACTGTATAGACTTTGTGAACACTGGACACTTGGATTGCACTAAATTTATTTTAAAACATTGTTTCCTCACTAATAAATGGGTTTACCATAACCTTTGCTTTATAAATATTTAAATTTATTTTAACTTTTCACTCTTGTGTAATAGCAGTTAGTTTAAAACACAAATTGATTGTATAATTGTACATCAATATTTCCTCATGTTGTTATTCTATAAAGTTTTTTTTCCATTAAACGATTACATGATTTTACTTTTAAAACTCTGTTGTTAAAAACTATGATGCAGGTACTAGAGATATAGCCAAAGGGCACTGAAGCTTTGCTTCCACCCCCAGCATCACAAAACCAAACCAAACAAAAGCTATAATATGAATACACGGAATAACCTAAGTCTATCAATAGCAACCTTTCACCTCCTCTTATCCCAGGGAGAGTCTTTAAGTGTATTGTAAGCCAGGCCTTGCCATCGCCATGTAAACTGCTTCTGGACCCTTCCTGGGGGCCTGCCTGAGGTGCCCACAGCTAAGTGGTACACATGCATCTAAAACAATGATAAAGTGTACAGTGTGATAAATATAGAGCCCAGTAGCACCAGCATCTATCATTACTTCGTGTCATGCATTGCATGTGAGTGTATGTGCCAAACTGTCACATGACTGGTAGCACAGTGAATGTGTTTATGCCAGTATCACCACAAATGTGTGAGCAATGCATTGTGCTGTGATATTACTGTGGCCATGGTGTGAGGAGGCAGGAGAAATTTTTCAGCATCATTATAATCTGTGGGGCCAGAATCATATGCAGTCTACCATCCACCAAAATGGGGCTATCCAGCACAATTTAATCTGCTCATTATTGTTTGGTCTTAGTATTAATGGAAGAATAATTGAGAAATTTATGGTAAAAACATCTTACAATTTTGACATTATAGACATTTATGAGTGATAGTTCAGATAATATATGTAAGAACAAATTATAATTTTAATGGATTTTTTGTACTTTTCCAAAAATAAGAAACTTAGACTTGGAGCACTTTTCTACATTTTTTCTTAGCTAGAGAGTAGCTCTGATATTTGGCTTGGATTATCCTGGCTCTCCTACTTCCTGCAAATACACAACTCTCAATCCTGGAACATCTGCAGTGTGAAGCCGATGTCTGTAAAGGGCTTTGAGACTTGGTAGAATGGCCTCAGTAGGTGGCTCCGTGACAGTAAAGATGGCACCATAAGAGCGGGCGCTGTCTCTGGGGCCCTGTGCCAAGTACAGCCTGCTGGAATGAGTACTGGGTCTTTCCAGGACAGCAGCGCGAACAGGAAGAGGTGACCCTGCCCAGCCGCAGCTGGACGAGAATTTTCCAGCTTTCATAGTCTGAAAAGCAGTAGTCAATCATATTAACAAACCAGAGAAGGATAAGCAAATGATAAAGAAGAAAAATCATGTTAAAAGACTAAAAAAGAAAAACTTAGTAGCTGCTAAGTTTTGACAAAATTTGGCATTGATTCATGATTTTAAAAACTCAGCAAACTAGAAATAGAAACAATGTTCCTTAATCTAATAAAAAGGCATTTATCAAAAACCTAACAACTAAACATATAATCCTGAACAACTTAATGCTTTCCCTCAAAGATCAGAAACAAGTTAGAAATGTTTACTGTCACCATTCTCCTTTCTGTCATAGTAGAGATCCCAGCCAGTGAATTACGGCAAGGAGAAACAACAAATGGTATTTACAGTGGAAAGGGGCAAATAAAACTATGTGCATATGACATAATTGTCTATGTAGAAAATATACCAAAAGGCTTCTAAAACTAAGAAATAAGCAAGATCATGGGTTTCGAGAGTTAATTATATATTTACACACTAGCAATGAACAACTGGAAATGATTTTTAAAATTTCAGAACTATTTACAATAACAACAAAAGAACAGTGGACTACTTAGGTACAAATCTAACTAAATATGTATAGTATCTGTAAGCTGAAAATTACAAAACAAAATCAGGGAGTATTTAAATAAATGGAAAGACAAATGATAGTCTAGGATTAAAAACTAAACACGATACTAGTTCTCCCCCTAACTAATCTATATATTCAAATCAATCACAATTAAAAGATTAGCAGAAATTTTTGTCCATAGTAGCCAGTTGATCTAAAAAATACATGTGCAAGTGTAAAAAACCTAGAGAGTCAAAAATTTTTTTAAAAAGCATGTATTTTGAAGGCTCACACTTCAAAACTTATCTTAAAACTATGGTAATCAAGACAGGATGACACATACCAACAAAATAGAACAGAGCCCCCAGAGGACCATGCATTTATACTGTGAACTGATTTCTGACAAATTCAATGGAGAAAGCGTAGTCTTTTCTATAAAAGGAGCAGGAAAAACTGAAATCCATCTGCGAAAGGAGAGTATAACACATATTTGTACCTTATAAATGAATCGAAAGTAGGTCTTAGACTTGTATGTAGAATTATAGAGCTACTACATTTTTAGAAGGAAACATGTATGAAGATCTTTGTGAGTTGGGGTTAGACAAAGCTTCTTAACACATGATAAAATCTATAAAAAATAAAATTGATAAAATAAATTTTGAGAACTTGTCTTGTGAAAGAAGACTCCAAGAAAAGAATGAAAAGGAAGATAAACTGTGAGCAAATGTTTGCAAATGAAACATTTGGTAAAAAGTGTTTAACCAGAATGTATAAAGAAATCTTTAAAAACTCAATCATATGAAAAGACTATGCAAAATATTTAATTGGCTGAGTTCAAACTGCTGAGCAGAAGTTTATGCTATGCCGACTGGCTTCTGATCAGTCAAAGCTACAAAGAGAAACCATATCACATCTATTCCAGTATGAGTAAAATTTTAAATGGAAGAAGACAGGAAAAAAAAAAAAAGGAATTGGAATTCTCGAGCACTGCTAGTGGGTTGGAAACAGAAGATGACTCAGTCATTCCAGAATATTGGCAATTTTGTGTGCTGTTGAACATACACCTATTCTGCTACTCAGCCATCCTATTCCTATTTACTGAGAAGAAATAAAAACTTATTTTACTTACAAACATCACAAAAAGTGTGCAATTGTTATTACTAACAATCCAAACCCTGGAAGAATTCAAATATCTTCCCTGATGAATGAATAAGCTGTGGTATACTTCCCAGTGGAGTACAGCACCCAATAGCAATGAACAGACAGGCTTGATGCCCCCCAAATGCCACATGCTTGCCAAGTGACAATATCAATGGCCTGCATGCTGTGAGACTGCTGCACTTACAAGATGCTCTGGAGAAGGCAAAATTATTGGAAGAGAAAAGAAGCCAGTGATTCTGCAGGGACAAATCTAAAACAAGCATCTTACTGGTGGGAGTAATGGTACAACTATTTACATATGAAACTGCTCACAAAATGTTGATATGAAGCAAAGGAAAAATGCAACTTTGAGGGTTTTTTTTTTTGGCATTTCTGAGATTCAGATCTGCTGGTGATGGCAAGAATCTCCTTAGCAGGAGACAAATTATTCTTAGGGAGAAAATTATACCTGTTCTTCAAAATTGACAGAGGAGGAGAAAATGAACAGAAGCCTGCAAGCACTTTAGAAACACAGTAAATGCTTTATTAGTTTGGTTTTGGTTTTTGTTAATCTTTGTACACATGATTGTCCATAAAATTATTTTTAGAATTTAGATTCTAACTCTTAAGGTCCATTCTTTTTACAATTTGTTTTTCAATGGCTGAGTCTCACAACTAGTGTCTGAGGTAGCAAATGTTTCCTCTGGGATCTCCACTTCAGTCGGTTTTCAGTGTCATACATATTTTAGTATTTATCACCTAGTGAAAGTCACTCATCTGCTAACTCTTGATTTTTTAATGAAAAGTTGGCATCACTGGACTCCAGGAAGCTCACACTGAGCACGGCCTCCTGATGCCTCAGATGTCATTTGCCATCATCCTCATGACTGCTCATCTGTCCTCAGGAGGGATAGGGTCACGAAAGTGCTATTTTCAGGTCAGGTTTCATAAGATTTTGAATCTAAAACTTTAAAGTCTACTTCTGCTATAACTGGGTTATCTAGGCATCAGCCCCGAAAGCTCCATAATCCGGTACACATGGTCAGGGTTATTAATCTGGATTGTCAGCCTCTATAAAACATGCTAAATAGTTTCTCCCTGATGAAGAAAAACATGTAAGTGTATGGCACCTAATAGTAATCCCAGCCTCTCAGGTGGCTGAGGCAGAAAGTTCACGAGTTCAAGGCAAGTTTGGGTAATTTAGTGAGAGTCTAGCTCAAAAATCAAAAGAGGTGGAGATGTAGCTCAGGGGTGGGGTATCCTTGAGTTCAATCAAGTGTGTGGGGGGGATGAATCTGTGGCATTTGCTGCTGAACCTCTACACTGTGGTGGATACAGCGACTCTGGAAATACATACAAACAGGTAAAAATAGGCAAACGGGCAAGGCGCGTGCTGGGCTGGATCGCAGGACAGGTGGGCTCAAGTTCTCCCCTTCCAGGGACCCTGACACCCAGGGAAGATTATTTGTCTAACCTGGGTTAATTTCTCTTTCTTAACAAAATGGTGAGTTAGTAAGTTAACAGAAATTTGAAAAGCTCATGGGGTAACACCCTGACTTTCAGAATAAAATGACTGTGTACACACTTCATGCAGGAATGGACAGACCACAAGCTACGCTGGAATCCTGATGAGTATGGTGGAATCAGTTCCATTAAAGTCCCATCCGAATCTCTCTGGCTTCCTGACATTGTTCTCTTTGAGAAGTAAGTGTCACAGAGGAAAACATACGTTGATTAATATTGTGTATAGTAAAGTCTAATCTTGGCAAAATAATTAAAGAGAAATATGCAATTTTAAGAAACAAATTTTTCTTCTTTTTAAAATGTTTGACACTGTAGAAGGAAAGTTATACAAATAGGTTGGTGGCAGGACAAACATCAGAAACTACTGAGTGCTCAGCTAACACTAAAGGGAAACCACTTTCATGACAGTGCCGACGGACGCTTCGAAGGCTCCCTCATGACCAAGGTCATAGTGAAAGCCAACGGAATGGTCACTTGGACTCCTCCTGCCAGCTACAAAAGCTCATGCACCATGGATGTCACATTTTTCCCATTCGACAGGCAGAACTGCTCGATGAAGTTTGGATCCTGGACTTACGATGGTACCATGGTTGACCTCATTTTGATAAATGAAAATGTTGACAGAAAAGACTTCTTTGATAATGGAGAATGGGAAATACTAAATGCAAAAGGAATGAAGGGTAACAGAAGAGAAGGTTTATATTCATATCCGTTTATTACTTATTCTTTCGTCCTGAGACGGCTGCCTTTGTTTTATACTCTGTTTCTGATAATTCCCTGCCTGGGGCTGTCTTTTCTAACAGTTCTTGTGTTTTATTTACCTTCTGATGAAGGAGAAAAACTCTCATTATCAACATCTGTCTTAGTTTCTCTGACAGTTTTTCTTTTAGTGATTGAAGAAATAATCCCATCTTCTTCCAAAGTCATTCCTCTCATTGGAGAGTACCTGCTGTTCATTATGATTTTTGTTACCCTGTCAATTATTGTTACTGTCTTTGTAATTAATGTCCATCACCGATCTTCTTCCACGTACCATCCCATGGCGCCCTGGGTGAAGAGGCTGTTTCTGCAAAAACTTCCTCAGCTGCTTTGTATGAAAGACCATGTGGATCGTTACTCTTTCCCAGACAAAGACGAGATTAAGCCAACAGTGAAAGGCAAAGCTATGGATAAAAAGAAACAGAAGGAAACTAGCAATGGAGAAAAGGTTCTGGTTGCTTTCTTGGAAAAGGCTGCCGAGTCCATTAGATACATCTCGAGGCACGTGCGGAAGGAGCATTTCATCAGCCAGGTGAGCCCCGGGACCCGTGGACGGGGTGCCAGTGAGGCCCACAGACCACTACTGTGGTGTTTGTTTACATCAAATTGCTGTCATTGCTTAATATGTGACAGTACCAGCCATCATTTGCATACAGACCAGTTTTAAAACAAACCCTGGCGCGTGATAGGGACTTTTCAGGCAGAAAGTCACAAAAATATAATGAGCAAAGTGAAGTAATTACAGATTAAGAGATCTCCTTTATAATGCCTCAACTCTATTTTAAATATTTCAATTATACTTTTTCTGTCGGTTACCCTGGTCTCTATCTCTCATTTTTCATGGTACTATAGATATTTTCTTACACAGTATTTGGAAACAAAAGACCAAAAGAATCAGATTTGCAAATTAATGTTAACTTTTCTATTATAACTAATATTTTGTTGGGGGAAGAGGATCTGGCTATTTAGCTTATAAATTCTTTTCCAAAAAAACGTGAAGCTGAGAAAATGGGCCACGCCTGTAGTCCCAGCTACTCAGGAGGTTGAGGTAGGAGGATCCTTGAGGAAGGAAGATCACTTAAGCCCAGGAGTTTGAAGCCTGCCTAGGCAACACAGCAAGTAATTAATTTCATATGGCTATCAGAAAGCACCGAGGTAAGACGTTAGTTTTTTATATATGTAAGAAGGTTTATATTCATACCCATTTATTACTTATTCTTTCATCCTGAGATGGCTGTCTTTGTTTTATACTCTGTTTCTGATAATTCCCTGCCTGGGGCTGTCTTTTCTAACAGTTCTTGTGTTTTATTTACCTTCTGATGAAGGAGAAAAACTCTCATTATCAACATCTGTCTTAGTTTCTCTGACAGTTTTTCTTTTAGTGATTGAAGAAATAATCCCATCTTCTTCCAAAGTCATTCCTGACCGCTTACAAATACATAAATAATTTACCATTCTATTTTACTTTTTCAGTGTTGACGAAAGTGTTCCTATACACTTGACCTGCAAGCTGGTTTTTTTTTGTTTGTTTGTTTTGTGTTTTTGTTTTTCTTTGAGACACCATCAGCAAAGTCACTGAGCAGAATCCGAGCCTGTACAGTGCAGGTGACCAAGTGTATGTGTAAGTAGGGGCACTCTGCAGACTTCAGCGCTGTCAATGTGAACGCTGCTCTTTTTCGGTCCCTTAATGAGCGCGGAGCAGTTGCACAGCGTTGAGAATAAAAGGCATCGTTTTCTCTCCCTCACAGGTGGTGCAAGACTGGAAATTTGTGGCCCTGGTCCTTGACCGAATCTTCCTGTGGCTCTTCCTGGTGGCCTCGGTCACCGGCTCCGTGCTGATCTTCACCCCCGCCCTGAAACTGTGGTTGCAGAGTTACCCTTAGTCCAGCGCCCCTGGCCCCGCACGGAGCCCCACACCTCAGAGGCCCAGGAGGGGCTGCCGCAGCCTGGGCCACCGCAGGCGCCCCATTAACACCCACGCATCCTCCCCTGGGAGCGTGGATCCCCGCGGGGGGCGTGGCAGCGCCGCGCCTGCGCAGTCCTCGCTGAACCCCGTTTTCTCCTCGCCCCCAGCACTGCAGGGCTATGCTGCCCAGGCCGCTAAATCTTTCCTAAATTTCAGCTTAAAGCAGTTCTGTCGGTGCTCAGTTACAAACCCAGATCTGTTTCCGTAGTGTTCTGTTTTTGGCGTTGCAGTTACAGGCCGAACTTTTAAAAACCTAAGTCAAGCTTGAACCCATTTTACCGTTGATGTGCCTGCTCTCACCCAAGTCTTTGGCTTTGTTTTCTGTGTATGATTTTCTTGTTCTTTTGGGGTTTTCCCTTCCTTTTCAGCCTTGATTGAGTTGTTTCCTTTCTTACCCTTAACACTTTGAAGGTTATGCTCCTATTAACTTATTAATAAATGTACTAAAATCTTTTGTGAAGGATGCTGTACAGAAGGATAAGTGCCTACCACTCTTTACACACTTCTTTCCTCTCTTTGTGTCTTCTGTGTCTTAACTAAAGCATCAGAATTTTAATTTCAGTTATATATTTTTATTTTGTGTCTCCTTTTAAAAAAATTATTTAAAAAAGACTAAACAAAACAGAAAACAGTACATACTTTCAGTATGTACTGAACAGTACAGAAATAGTACATACTTTCAAAGAAAAAAATAAACTAAGAAATCACTAGTTGATGATTACATATTGTCCTCTTACAAATAGTTGTTCAAGATACAAAAGGGAAACATACAAACAATGAGACTGCAAACAGTTCTGCTTAACTATCCAACAAAAACTTAGTAATATGGTTGTCAATCCTATACACTAAAACATACATGCAGTTATTCATATCTTCATTTATGTTGAGATTAAACAAACTATAGCAGGCTAAAATCACTCTGAACAAAGAATAATAGCATTGCTGGATTTCACATCATGACACTACGGGATCAGCACTGGATACTGTAGTGTCTCTCTTTCTTCAAAGTATTTTTTCATTTCATCATGCATTATGAGTTCTCATAAACTGTTTATAGGTTCTATGCATGCCTGAGTCTTAACATGTATTTCTATCCTTCCTATATTAGAAGGAGAAACAAAGCAAAGCAAGACAAAACAAAACATAATCCTATAAACACGTGAAACAAAAAAAAAACCCATATAAAACCACTGTACAAGGAGTTCTACCACGGTTACTGTGTTGTCTTCAATAGAATTGTCTATATCATCAGACATAGTATTGTTGAATATAGCAGTATATAGCAATATTAATAAAAACAAACTTTGTAGATAGTGTAAAACTTCAAAAACAGGTAATAATCAAACCAGAATGGGTATCGGAATGAATCTTGTCATCTTCAGTGTAGTTGCCTAAACTCTCAGACTTGATACTATCACTCATAACAGTTTTGAATAAAATCTGTCGTTATCAAACAGCAATCAAACAAACCATATTTAACTAAGATCAGTCATGATAAAACAGTATAAGTTACACAGGGCTCCAGATTAAGTTAATAGGAATTAAAGATGATTACTGTGCTATATTCTGATATTTTTGGGATAGTTGTGTCCTCAGATCTAGTGCTTGTAGACAAACTGGGACAGAATAAGTTCTACCTAAGCAGAACAGAGCGAATAATATGGGCTTAATTCCTGATATACTATTAACAACATCTTCTGCCATCTTTTTAAACTCTATTCTTTCCTTTTCACTCCCCCAGGGTGCACTGTGCATTTTTGGATCTCACCAATATCCTCAGTTTTTAGATTGAAGGGACAGCCTGCTATTTACCTAAGTGGTTCCGAACCTTCTCCCTCCTGGACTTGATCTCTAATTGTATTCTTTTACCTATTAAAGCCTGTCTTTCCAACTATCTACAAATAGTGGTCCAGTTGCCCCTTTTACCCTCTAGTTCCCTGTCGTATAGAGCATTGCTTCCTCATATTTGGTTTTCAATCCATAAACACTTTTTCAGGTTAATTATATTTCCTATAAAGAGCATCTCGGTGGACCCTACCTCCTGATCTACTCTGCCTGGGTTTCTCTCTCTTTTTTTCTTTCTTTCTTTCTTTTTTTTTTTTTTTTTGGTGTATCAAGGCCATCTATATAAGAGACTATAGCTAATATTCTCTGCCTCATTTTTGTTGTGCTCTTTTTCTGCCATTAGTTGTCTGCTTTTCTTCTTCATTCCACTTTCTGCTCCATTCATTGAGGCCTCTCTGCCACTGTTCCTGGAATCCTAGTACTTTTCTCTTTCTCTAGAATGTTCTTCAATATTCTCTGTAGAGTTGGATTGGTGGTCGCGAATTCCCATAGTTCCTCTTTGTCTTGGAAGCATCTTGTTTCTCCATTAATTTCTAGAGACAGTTTGCAAGGTACATCAATCTGGGCTATAGGTTATTTTCTTTCAGGGCTTGGAATATTTCACTCCAGGCTCTTCTTGACTTGATGGTTTGTGTCGAGAAGTCTGCCATGATTTTGATGTGTTTTCCTTTATAAGTGATGTGTTTCATTTCTCTGATGGCTTTTAATATTCTGTTCTTATATTGAATTTCTGGGATTTCGATTATTATATGCTTGGGTGTAGCTCTGTTTTGGTTGTAGGTGGCTGGAGTTCTGTATACCTCATACATCTGACTATAATTTCCTTTTTCTATGTTTGGGAAATTTTCCTTAATTATTTCTGTGAATAGCCTTTGTAGTTCCTTTGTTTGTACCCCTCTTCTGCATTCACATTTTTTATTCTCTAGTTTTGGTTCTCTTGTCATCTTCTAGCCTTTGTATTGTTACTGCCTGTTTCTTGTTATTTTTAAGAAAATTTTCCTTTCATGATCACAGATTGCAAACCTGTCTTCCAGTTTGGATAATCTATCCTTAGTTTCTTTCAAGGAATTTTGACAGCTTTCAATGGAGTTTTTAATTTCCTGGTAATCTCTTTGAACCTACTGCATGTATTCTATGTTTTCTTTATATTCTTCATCAAATGTGTCTCTCCTTTTTTTGTGCTCCTCCATTCTTCCATCTGTGTCTTCTTGAGAGGTGCTTAGCATTTCTTTTATTAATCTACTTATATCTTGCTTTACTTGGTTAAATATTTCACTTTTGAACTCATCTATGAAGTCCCAAAGATATCTATGTCCACTGGTGCTGTGTCTGATATTGCATGTTTGTTCTCCCCAATCTCCTTTTTATTTACTTCTCCTGGATCAATGTTATCAGGTTGGGGGCTGGGGAATTTTTCTTGTTGTTTCCTTTGTTCATGTTTTTGGTTTCTTTCATACAGATGTATTAGAGGAGATCCCAGTCCCTTTCCTTGTTGGTTATGGTTCTTCTGAAGCATGCTGGCTAGGTAACCCTGCCCACTCCAGTGTATTATTGAGTGCAAACAGTGGGGGCCTATGCTAGCTCCTCCCCTCCTGGTCAGCCAACCTGCAGAGGCCTTCAATGCATTAGTGTGCACTGTGAGTAGGAAATTGGTTTGAGAGAAGTTATTGGGTCTCAGCCAGGGGTATGACCGTGGCAAAGCATGCCTGACTAATCTCATCTGGGAAGGGAACAACTGACTGAAGTTGCTGCTGTTCCCTTGCTCTTGCCAGTCCTGCCTGATTCCAAAATGTCATCCCGTTGGTGCCCCTTTCCCATGGAAGAGTTTTATTCCCAGCACTCACCATGATCATTCTTTATAGCTGAGTAGTACTCCATCGTATAAAAATACCACAACTTTTTTATCCATTCCTCAGTTGATGGACACTTAGGTTGCTTCCAAGATCTGGCTATTACAAATTGTGCTGCTATAAACATGGGTGCACATATATCGCTGTGGTATTATGTTTTCAGTTCTTCTGGGGATATGCCTAGAAGTGGAATACCTGGAACAAATGGGACTTCCAATCCCACCTTTTTGAGAAATCCCCAGACTGACTTCCACATGGTTGCACCAGTGTACACTCCCACTAATAGTGCAGGAGACATCCTTTTTCCACACAGCCTCTCCAGCATTTGTTGTTGGTGGTTTTGCTGATTCTGACTATTCTTTCAGGAGTGAGATTGAATCTCAGGGTGGCTTTAATTTGCATTTCTTTAATGAATAATGATGATGAACATTTTTTCATGTAGGGCCCTATTTATTTGCCATTTGTATTTCTTCATTAGAGAATTGTGCATTCATCTCAGATGCCCATTTTTGGATTGGAGCTTTGAACTTTGGAGGTCTGATTTTTTAAAATGCTTTATATGTTTTAGAAGAAGTCCTTTGTCTGAGGGACAGTTCACTAAGATTTTCTTCCCAGTTTGTGGGTTTTCTTTTCACTATGCTAGAGATTTCTTTTGACATGCAGAAACTTTTTAATAAGACATGATCCCAATTACTGATTCTGGGAAGTATTTCCTGTGAGGTTTGATTCCTGTTTATGAATTCGCTACCTGCCCCTATGTCTTCAAGATTTTTACCCAATTTGTTTTCCAATAGATTTAGTGTTTCTGTTTTAATATTCAGATTTTTGATCCATTTAGATTTTAGTTTACTACATGGTGATAGGCATGGATCTAGTCTTAATTTTCAGCATATGGAGAGCCAGTTTTTCCAATATCATTTACTAAAGAGACTGTCATTCTTCCAGTGAACATGTTTGGCCCTGTTATCAAAGATAAGGTGGTAGAGTGTGTTTGTAGTTGTATCTTCTAATCTATTCCATTGATCTTTGACTCTGTTTCTATTCCAGTACCATGTTGATTTACTACAGTTGCTTAGTAGTATAACTTCAAGTCAGGAATTGTGATGCTTCCTGCCTTGCCTTAGCTGCTTAGAACTGTCATTGCTATTCTAGGTCTCTTCTGTTTCCAGATGAATTTTAGGAGTGATTTCTCTATATCTATGAGGTATGTTGATGGTATTTTCAATGGGATTGCATTGAATCTGTACAACAGTTTTAGGAGAATGGACATTTTCACAATATTTATTCTTCCTATCCATGAGCAAGGGATGTCTTTACATTTTCTGAGGTCCTCTTCAGTTCCTTTCTTCAGTGTATTATAATTTTCCCTGTATAGATATTTCACTTCTTTCGTGAGAATTCCTAAATATTATGTTTTTTTTTCATTGCTAGTGTGAAGAGTGTGGCTTCTCTTATTTCTCTCTCTGTGATTTTGTTGTTAGTGTGTAGGAATGCTATTGATTTCTGAGTACTGATTTTGTATCCAGCTACATTGCTGGATTTATTTATTATATCTAGAAATCTTTCAATGGAGTTTTGGGGATCTTCTATGTAGAGTATCATGTCGTCTGCAAATAATGATAATTTAACTTCCTCTTTTCCTATTTTTACCCCTTCTATTTCTCTCTCTTGTCTAATTGCTCTGACTAGTATTTCCAGTGCTACATTAAATAGGAGTGATGATAAAGGATCCTTGTCTTGTGCCTGACTTTGAGGTAAAGGCCTTCAGTTTTTGGCCATTTAGTATGATACTGGCTGTTGATTTGTCATAGATGGCATTTATCATATTAAGGTAAAGACCATCTATTCCAATTTTCTGTAAGTTCTTACCATGCATGAATGTTGGAGCTTATCAAAAGCTTTTTCCTGCATCTATAGAAATGATCATGTGATTCTTTCTTTTGGTTTTATTGATATGGTGGATTACATTTATTGACTTATGTATGTTGAACCATCCCTGCATGCCTGGGATGAATCCCACTTGGTCATGGTGTACAATCTTCCTGATGATTTGCTGCATCTTATTTGCCAATATTTTATTGAGAATTTTTGCTTTTGTGTTCATTAGCGAGATTAGTCTGTAGTTGGTTTTTTAGTTGACTCTGGTTTTGGTACTAGAGTAATATTTGCTTCCAGGAATGACTTAGGAAGGATTGCTTCCCTTTCAATTTCATTGAATAGTTTGAGAAGTGTAGGCATTAAGTCTTCTTTGTATTTCTTGTAGAATTCTGCAGTGAATCCATCTGGGACTGGGCTCTTCTTTGTAGGTAAGGACTTAGTTACATTTTCAATTAAATTGATAGAAATTGGGCTATTCAGCAGTTTTACATCTTCTTGACCTAGCTTTGGTACTTCATATGTTTCTAGGAATCTGTCAATCTCTTCGTATTCTCAAATGTATGAGAGTAGAGGTTTTTGAAATAGGTATTGATAATCTTCTGTATTGCTACAGAGTCTGTAGTGATTTCGCCTTTTTCACTCCATATTGCATGAATTTGAGCTTTTTCTTCCCTTTTTCAAATAAGGTTGGCTAGTGGCTTATCAATTTTATTTATTCTTTCAAAGAACCAACTCTTTGATTCATTGATTTTTTGGGTTGTTTTCTTAATCTCTATTGAATTAATTTCTGTTCTGATTTTTATAATTTCCTCCCTTCTTTTGGCTTTGGGATTGACTTGCTCTTCTTTTTCTAGATGTTTGAGGTGCAGCATCAGGTTATTTATTTGTATTCATTCTGTTTTCCTGATGTGGGAACTCGGTGCAATAAATTTTCCTCTGAGGAGAAATTTCATAGCATCCCAGAGATTCCGACAAGTTGTATTTGTATTTTTGTTTCTTTGTAGGTATTCTTTAATTTCTTCTTTAATTTCCCTTGTGACCTACTGATTGCTCATTAGTGTGTTATCCAATTTCCATGTGTTTGTGGGATTTTTGCAGTTTCTTTTATCATAAATTTCTAGTTTCATGGCACTATGATCCGATAACATGCATGGTATAATTTCAACTCTTTTGCATTTATTTGAATATGTTCTGTGGGCTAGTAGATGGTCTATTTTATAGAATGTTCCATGTCCTACTGGGAAGAATGTGTATTCTGATGTTGTTGAATGGAACACTTGTATACATCTATCAAGTCCTTTTTTTCACATGTGTGATTCAGTTCTGTTGTTTCTTTGTTGATTTTCTGTCTGGTTGATCTGTCCCTTGGTGTCTACGATGTGTTAAGTGCTCCTGTTATAATTGTGTTATTGTTAATTTGATTTTTCATTTCTATTAATACTTGCTTTGTATAACTGGGTGCTCTGGAATATGGTACCTATATATTTAAGATTGTTATCATTCTTCTTGGAGTTTTCCCCTAATCCATATGTAATGACTTTCTTCATCTCTTCTGATCATTCTTGGTTTGAAGTTCTGCAAACAGAATAGCTACCTCCACTCTTTTTTGTGTTCCTGTTGCATGAAATATTGCTTTCCATCCTTGACCTTCAGTCTGTGAGTATCCTTTTCAGTTAGATGGGTTTCCTGTAGATAGCATATGATTGGATGTTGTTTCTTGATCCATTCTGCCAGTCTGTTTCTTTTAATTAGTGAATTGAGACCATTTACATTAATGGTTATCTGTTATATGTTGGTTTATTGTTGACATGTTATCTTTCTGCTGTTGCATCTGTATCTTTCCATTCTGTTTAATTGTCTGCTTTGCTTAGTGTTTTTTTCCTAAATGTATCTAAACTGACTTTCAGTATTCTTTGGAAGATTGGCTTGGTGATCATGAAGTTCTTCAGCTGTTCTTTGTGATGGAAGTACCTTATTTCTCCACTCATTTTTAAGAACAGTGTTTCAGGGTACATCAGTCTAGGCTGGAAATCATTTTCCTTTAGGATCTGAAATACTTCTCGCCATGCTCTTCTTGACTTTATTGTTTGTGCTGAGAAGTCGGCTGTGATTCTGATAGGTTTTCCTTTATAGGTGTCTTTTCTCTCTCACAGCTTCTATTTTATTTTTTTAAAATTTTATTTAAAAGAAAAAAGAGAAAAAACAGAAGAAAACAAATCAGTGAAAGGGTACAAGTAATACAGAACTACAAAAACAAACAAACAAACAAACAAACAAAAACAAAAACAAAAAAAAAACAACAGTAAGAAATCACCAGTTAATAGACTATACATTATCATCTTAGAGATAGTGGTTCAAGTCACAGGATCAAAGCATACAAAGTGGACATTCAAACAGTGAGACTGCAAACAGTTGTGTTCAGTGATCCAATCAAAAACATTAATATGGTCATCTATTTAACACACCTAAACACACTTGCTGTTGTATCCTTTAGAATACTTTTTTTCCTCTCTTTATTACAACAAAATTTACACATGTTGGGTTTTATTACTCCCATAGTTCTTATTACTTTTTTTGGAAGAGAATAAAATCAAATATGACAAAACAAAGCTATCAGTCAAAACCAAGGATAGACATAGCACATGATGTAAAAACAGTACAAGGTTATCAATAATGGTTACCATAATGCCTCTTGCTTCCTTAAGAAGTATTGTCTATCTCATTAGGCATTATAAAGTTGAACAAAACAGTAGAGAACAAGACCAATAAAACCTAAACATTGTAAACATTACAGGACTTCAAAAGAGGATAATAGTCAAACCAGAATGGGCATCATAGTGAATCTTATTGCCTTCAAAGTAGTTGCCTATACCCTCAAACTTGATACTATCATACAGGACAGAACAGAGTCTAATCAATCAAAACAAGAGAGTGGGAGTATTACAGGACTTCAAATCAAGTTAATAGGAAATCAAAAAGAAACTATAGTATATCCTGCTAATTTTTTTGATTTTTTCCCCTTAGTTAAAAAAGTAATAAAAAATAATTAAATACTTTTTTAATGAATAAGGGAGAGATTGAGATAAAAGAGGACATAACAACATAACAATACAGGTCAAAGCATGACAATTTCAGTAACCTAGTGCTTCACCACCAAATAACCCCACTTAATAGTAGTTACCATAGGGTCTTTTTCCTCAAAATATTTGAATATAACTTCGTATACTATAGCATCAAACATATCAAGACAGTGTAAAACCATTCAAGTGGATGAAAGTATTGAAGGGTATTTAGAACCAGCTAACAGAAAACAAACAATGGTTTCTATGTTATCTCTTTGCCTATAACAATTTTTGTTTATACTATCGCATTTAATAAAATCCAGCTAGATACAACATGATAAAACCAATGGAGACAGAAGAGCCATAGTTTGGTGGGGGCTTCAAAACAAGATGGTATTAAATCAGCACTAGCTATTATGATGTCTTGTTTTCTTCAGAATAGCTGTTCATTGCATCACAGGCCATAATATCAAACAGCCCAGAATAAAGTCATTCCAATTAATAAGTGAAAACTTTATAAGTCTTCAATGTCACATAATTGGGAATCATGATTACCACATACTTTTATATATTTGAATAATTTCCTACACTAGGGAAACTATTCGGTATTCACACATGCGAGTTTGATTTATTTCACTTATGAGTATGGTTTCAAGCTGAGCCCATTTACTGATAAATATCTCAATGTGATCATTCTTTATAGCTGAGTAGTGCTCCATTGTATAGAAATACCATAACTTTTTCCTCTGTTGACGGACACTTGGGTTGTTTCCAAGATCTGGCGATTACAATTGTGCTGCTATAAACATAGGTGAACATATATCACTGTGGTATGATGCTTTCAGTTCTTCTGAGAATATGCCTAGAAGTGGAATAGCTGGAACAAATGGGACTTCCAATCCCAGCTTTTTAAGAAATCTCTAGACTGACCTCCACAAAGGTTGTACCAGTCTACACTCCCACCAACAGTGTAGGAGAGTTCCTTCTTCCCCACAGCCTCTCCAGCATTTGTTGTTGGTTTTCTTGCTCCTGGCCATTCTTTCAGGAGTGAGATGAAATCTCAGTGTGGTTTTAATTTGCATTTCCCTAATGACCAATGATGTACATTTTTTTGTGTACTTATTTGCCATTTGTATTTCTTCATCTGAGAAGTGTGTATTCATCTCAGATGCCCATTTTTGGATTGGATCTTTGAATTTTGGGGGTCTGAATTTTTTTTAATTCTTTATATGTTCTAGACAAAAGTCCCTTGTCTGAGGGGAAGTTCACTAAGATCTTTTCTCAGTTTGGGGGTTTTCTTTTCACTATGCTGGAGATTTTTTTTGACATGCAGAAATTATTTAATAAGAAGTGGTCCCAGTCATTGATTCTGGGAAGTATTTCCTGTGCAGTTTGAGTCCTGTTCATGAATTTTCTACCTACCCCTATGTCTTCAAGGTTTCTACCTAATTTGTCTTCCAATAGATTTAGTGTTTCTGTTTTAGTATTCAGATCTTTGATCCATTTAGATTTTAATTTAGTACACGGTGATAGGCATGGGTCTAGTTTTAGTTTTTGGCATATGGAGAGCCAGTTTTTCCAACACCATTTATTAAAGAGACTGTCATTCTTCCAGTGAACCTGCTTGGCTCCTTTATCAAAGATAAGGTGGTTGAGTGTGTTTGTAGTTGTGGTTGTATTTCTAATCTATTCCATTGACTTTTGGCTCTGTTTTGATTCCAGTACCATGTTGATTTTACTCCTGTTGCTTTGTAGTATAACTGCAAGTCAGGGATTGTGATACCTCCTGCCTTGCCTTTGCTGCTTAGAATTGCCTTTGCTATTCTAGGTCTCTTCTGGTTCTAGATGAATTTTAGGAGCGATTTCTCTAGATTTATAAGGTATGCTGATGGTATTTTTGTTGGGATTGCATTGAATCTGTATAACAATTTTGGGACAATGGCCATTTTCACAATGTTTGTTCTTCCTATCCATGAACAAGGGGTGTCTTTTCATTTTCTGAGATCATCTTCAATTTCTTTTTTCAGTGTATTATAATTTTCCCTGTATAGGTCTTTCACTTCTTTTGTAAGAGTAATTCCTACATATTTCATTTTTTTGCTTGCTAGTGGGAAGAGTGTAGTTTCTCTTATTTTTCTTTCTGTGTTTTTGTTGTTAGTGTATAGGAATGCTATTGATTTCTGAGTACTGATTTTGTATCCAGCTACATTAACTGAATTTATTTATTATATCTAAGAGTCTTTCAAAGGAGTTTAGGGGGTCTTATATGTAGCGTATCATGTCATCTGCAAACAATGATAATTTAACTTCTTCTTTTCCTATCTTTACCCCTTTTATTTCTCTCTCTTGTTTAATTGCTCTGGGTAGTGCTTCAGTACTATATTAAATAGGAGTGGTGATAAAGGACATCCTTGTCTTGTGCCTGATTTTAAAGTAAAGGCTTTCAATTTTTGGCCATTTAGTATGATATTGGCTGTTGGTTTGTCATAGATGGCCTTTATTGTATTGAGGTAAAGACCATCTATTCCAATTTTTTGTAAGGTTCTTATCATTAATGAATATTGGAGCTTATCAAAAGCTTTTTATGCATCTATGGAAATGATCATGTGATTCTTACTTTTGGCTTCATTGATATTGTGGATTACGTTTATTGATTTACGTAAGATGAAACATCCTTGCATGCCTGGGATGAATCCCACTTGGTCATGGTGTATAATCTTCTTGATGATTTGATGCATCCTATTTGCCAATATTTTATTGAGGATTTTTGCATCCGTGTTCATTAGGGAGATTGGGCCATATAGTTCTCTTTAAGTTGGGTCTTTCTCAGGTTTTGGTACTATAGTAATATTTGCTTCCAGGAATGACTTAGGAATGATTACTTCTCTTTCAATTTCATTGAATAGTTTGAGGAGTGTCAGCATTAGGTCTTCTTTGTATTTTTTGTAGAATTCTGTAGTGAATCCATCTGGGACTGGGCTCTTCTTTGTAGGTAAGGACTTAATTACATTTTCAATTTCATTGATAGAGATTAGGTTATTCAGCAGTTTTACATCCTCTTGATCTAGCTTTGGTACTTCATATGTTTCTAAGAATCTGTCTATTCTGTGTTATCAAACCTTTGAGAGTAGAGGTTTTCGAAATAGGTGTTGATGATCTTCTGTATTTCTATAGAGTCTGTAGTGATTTCACCTTTTTCATTTCTTATTGCATGAATTTGAGCTTTTCTTCCCTTTTAAAAATAAAGTTAGCTAGGGGCTTGTCGATTTTATTTATTCTTTCAAAGAACCAACTCTTTGATTCCTTGATTCTTTGGATTGTTTACTTAGTCTCTGTTGCATTGATTTCTGCTCTAATTTTTTAAATTTCCTCCCTTCTTTTGTCTTTGGGCTTGACTTGTTCTTCTTTTTCTCACTGTTTGAGGTGTAGCATCAAGTTATTTATGTGTATTTGTTCTGTTTTCGTGATGTGGAAACTCAGTGCAATAAATTTTCCTCTGAGGATGGCTTTCATTGCATCCCACAGATTCTGGTAAGTTGTATCTGTATTTTCATTTTCTTGTAGGTATTGTTTAATTTCTTCTTTAATGTCCTCTGTGAGTCACTGATTACTCAAGAATGTGTTATTCAGTTTCCATGTGTTTGTGGGAATGTTGCAGTATCTTTTATCATTAATTTCTAATTTCATAGTGTTATGATCTGATAGCATGGAGGGGATAATTTCAACTCTTTTGCATTTATTTAAATATGTTAATATATGGTCTATTTTATAGAATGTCCCATGTACTGCTGAGAAGAATGTGTATTCTGTTGTTGTTGGGTGGAATACTCTGTATATATCTATTACGTCCATTTGTTCACAGGTGTGATTCAGTTCTTTTATTTCTTTCCTGATTTTCTGTGTGATTGATCTGTCCATTGGTGTCAATGGTGTGTTAAGATCTCCTGTTAGAATTGTTACTGCTGGGGCTGGGGATTTAGCTCAGCGGCATAAGCACCTGCCTTGCAAGCAGGCAGTCGTGAGTTCGATCCTTGGTACTGATAAAAATGAAAAAGACAAAAAAAAGAATTGTTACTGCTAATTTGGTTTTTTTATTTTTGTTAGTACTTGTTTTATATAACTGGGTGCTCTGGAGTTTGTATATATATAAATATATATACATATATAAACATGTATGATATATATATATATTTAAGATGGTTAGCTCTTCCTCTTGGAGTTTTCCCCTAACCAGCATGTAGTGATCAATAATGACCTCTTCTGATCATTATTGGCTTGAAGTTCACTTTGTCTGCAAACAGAATAGCTACCCTCTTTTTTGCGGGGGGTTCCTGTTGCATGAAGTATTGTTTTGCATCCTTTGACTTTCAGTCTTTGAGTATCCTTTTGGGTTAGATGGGTTTCTTGTAGACAGCATATGGTTCGATTTTGTTTCTTGATCCATTCTGCCAGTCTGTTTCTTTTAATTGGTGTATTGAGGCCATTTACATTAATGGTTATAACTGTTATATATTGGTTTATTGTTGACATGTTATCTTTCTGCTGTTGCATTTTTATCTTTCTGTTCTGTTTAATTGTCTGTTTTGTTTAGTGGTTTTTTCCTAAATGTATCTAGGCTGTCTTTCAGTATTCTTTGCAGGATTAGCTTGGTGATCATGAAGTTTTTCAGCTGATCCTTGTCATGGAAGTATCTTATTTCTCCATTGATTTTGAAGGGCAGTGTTTCAGGGTCCATCAGCCTAGGTTGGAAATCATTTTCCTTTAGGATCTGAAATACTTCACTCCATGCTCTTCTTGACTTTATTGTTTGTGCTGAGAAGTCTGCTGTGATTCTGATAGGTTTTCCTTTAGAGGGGATCTGCCTTTTCTCTCTTACAGCTTTTAATATTCTATTCTTTCGTTGGATTTCTGGGATGGTCATTATTATATGTCTGGGTGTAGATTTATGTTGGTTATGGCTATTTGGAGTTCTATATGCTTCCTTGATCTTGATATCTGTTTCCAATCTCATGTTTGGGACATTTTCAGCTATTACTTCTCTAAATATCCTCTTGACATCCTTTATGTTGTCCCCTTCTTTATTTACCCCTATCAACCTTATGTTGTTCCTCTTTGCTTCATCTTGCATGTGTTGAATTGTTATTTCCTGATTTCTTGTTATTTTTAAAAGGTCTTTCCTTTCCTGTTCACTGGCTGCAATCTTGTCTTTGAGGTCTGAAATTCTATCTTCACATTCATTGAGGCAGTTTTTACAACTTTCAATGGAGTTTTTGATTTCCTGTGTATCTCTTTACATCTGCTTTCTGTATTCTGTTTGTTTCTTATATTGTTCATCCAGGGATTCTATCTTTTTGTTTAGTTCCTCCAATTTTTTAACTGTGTCTTCTTTAGCTATGTTCAGCATCTCCTTCATTTCTTTTATCATTTCTTCTTTTACCTGAGAGATTATTTCTAATTCGAATTTCTTTAAGGCTTCCCAGAGTTGCTTCTTTATTTCAGTTACTATTATTTCAGGTATTTCAGTTATGTGGCATGTGTTTTCTTCTATGCACATGGCTCCTAGGCTTTCTTGGAATGGGCTGGATGTTTGAGATTGCATTTGGTCTTTTGTTTTGTCATTTTCCTATATTTTTGAGCTTCAAGTGTTGTTCCAATTGTGGGAGAGAGTTCCATCAGCCTGGGATGGGGTTCCCTGCGGCGGCCCCAATCACTAGACTAGGCAGGGAACCATGGCCTGGTCCCCAGGCCAGGAAGAGAGTTCTGCCAGAGTGGTATGAGATTCTGTGCTCCTGCTCCACTCACCAATTCCAGCAGGGAACCCGGCCTGGTCCCAGGCCAGGAAGAGAGTTCCCCCAGGCTGGGGCGGGATTCCGCGCTGCTGCTCCACTCCTCTCTCACAGCTTTTAATATACTATTCTTATGGTGGATTTCTGGGATGGTGATTATCATATGTCTGGGTGTAGTTTTATTTTGGTTTTGGCTATTTGGACTTCTATATGCTTCACTGATCCTGAGGTCAGTTTCCATTCTCATGTTTGGGAAATTTTCAGCTAATACTTCTCTAAATATCCTCTTGACATCCTTTATGTTGTCCCCTTCTTTTTTCATTTATCCTTGTCAATCTTATGTTGTTTTTCTTTGCATCATCTTGTAGCTGTTGAATTGTTATTTCCTGATTCCTTGTTATTTTTAAAAGATCTTTCCTTTCCTGTTCACTAGTTGCAATCTTGTCTTTGAGGTTTGAAATTTTATTTTCACTTTTGTTGAGGTGGTTTTGACAACTTTCAATGGAATTTTTGATTTCTTGTATATCTCTTTGAATATGCTTCATGTATTCTGTTTGTTTCTTATATTGTTCATCCAGGGATTATATCTTTTTTGTTTTGTTCCTCTAATTTTTTAACTGTGTCTTCTTTAGCTATGTTCAGCATCTCTTTTATTTCTTTTATCATTTCTTCTTTTACCTGGGAGATTATTTCTCATTTGAATTCCTTTAAAGCTTCCCAGAGTTGCTTCTTTATTTCACTTGCTATTATTTCAGGTATTTCAGGTTTATGGCACATATTTTCTTCTATGTGCATAGCTCCTAAGGTTTCTTGGGATGGGCTGGAGTTTTGAGATTGCATTTTGGTCTTTCATTTTGTCATTTTCCTATATTTCCGTGTTTCAAGTGTTATTCTCAGGCTTCCCCTTGGCCTGTTGGAAATCCTCTTCTGTGCCCTCAGCTCTTGGAACTCTGGCTGCCCAGTTCCCTTCATTGAGAGAGGCTCACTAGGTTTGGGGCAGGCAGGCCCAGGATCTGCTGAGCCAGTTTAGTATTGCAGGAAGCTGTGAACTTTCTTGGCCAGTGGGAGCAAGGATCTTAATCTCCTAGGGCTCGGGATGGAGCAGGGATACCCACCTCCAGCTGTCTAGTTTTCAGAATTGAGTGTGCAGGCAGGCCCAAGATCCCTAGAACTGGCTGAGTACATCAGGAAGCCAGGAAGTTGGTGCCAGCAGGCCCAAGACCTACCAAACCAGTTGAGTGTGGCAGGAAGCTGTGAAGTTCCTTGGCCAGTGCCCAGGCTGATGTTGAACTGGGTTCTAGTGATCCTCCTGCCTCAGTTTCCTAAGTAGCCACATTCTACTACACTTGAGTCCAAGTAATTCTTTTAGAAAGTTTTTGAGTACAGTAGCCTTCCTGAACCTCTACATTTTTGAAGTCAATTGAGTTCACCTTCACATTTTAATAGTAAATTGATTGTTTCAATGAGAAATATGATAAAGATTAATTCTTCTTATTCCCGAATGCTTCTATTTTGCTTTCCTGAAACTCGTATGGCTTTGTCTTTGGACTTTGGGTGTGTCTCCTGTGTCTGTCTGAGTACAGGGCACTCTTTATTCTTCTGGCTAAGCACTTATGACTGATTTCTTCAAATCTTCTTTTCCTGTTTTGCATTTTGTGGCCTCTACCTTTTCTCTCTTCTCCTTCTGAAATTTCTAATCTTGGTGTTGCTGGATCTGTCCTCCATGTTTATTAACTAATTAACCTTTCTCTAACAATTTTTAATTTTTTAACTATTGATTCACTGTTTGCTTGAGCTGATGGCCAACAAAGTTCATTTTTGGTGATGGTCCATTTTGTTGTCCAGCCTATCTCTCTGGTCAGGGTTTGTTTGTGTGTTCATAAATTATTCATAAATTTGATTTCCTAAAGCTCTCAATTTTCTTATAGATGTCATTCCCCTGAAATATTTTAGGAAATACTCATTATAATTACTTTAAAACATTTTATTTTTATCAGGTTAATTCTTCTGATGACTTGGATGCTTTTAGTGGTCATTTTAGTCAAATGTCTACCACTTTTTACCATTATTTGTTCAACTGAAAATGAAAAATTTTTTCTAATTGCCGGAGATTTTTTTTTTCTGTCTGCATCCCTGGAGTTTGTGAACAGCTCATCTTCTGCTTTTGACTTACTATTTCTTGACAGCAGCCATGAGTCGTTTTGGACTCTGCCCAGATGTCATTGGAGTTGGTAAAGTGATATGTGCATTTGATGTCAATCTTCATATCTGGCTCTTCAGTTTCAGAAGCTTTGTGTTATATTGGGTGTGTGTGTGTATTTGAAACAGGGTCTCCATGTAGTTCAAGCTAGACTTGAACTTGCTGTGTAGTTGAACTGGCCTTGAACTCGTAGTGATCCTCCTGCCTCAGCCTCTTGAGTGCTGAGATTGCAGGCAGGCACCATCATGCAAACATCCCTGGACATTTGTAGTGCTCTTCTGGTCAAATTTCCATCTTGTTCGTATTAACCTTCTTTTTGTACCAAATCTTTCTTTCCCTGGTGCTCCTGGCCCTCCTCCTGGAACCTATTCCTTTAATTGCCCTCCCTCTCTTGGTCTTATATGGATCCCTTTCCTAAGCCTACAAAATGTCTTGATTTGTTCTAGTCTTAAACAAACAAGAGCTACAGAGAACAGAAATAATGGAATTGTTTTTAAATGGCCTACAGTGCTTAAGAGAGTTATGCCATTCAGCTCATCCTCAAACACATTCTAAAGCCCCCCGAAAGAAATTACATTTATATGTTTTGAATGCTATATTTAAAGCATAACATTTAATGTAGTCATTGAATTTGTACTCAAATGATATCAAATTTTATGCTATAGAACTGTATCATTTTGTGTTATATGCCCAAATTATAGAAAACTTGGGCTTCTTGCATGAACCACATATCCTTTTGCTCAAGTTTTAGAAGGAGAAACATGGAGATATAAAAATTATGGCACAGACTCTCAGGCTCCCGACCAGGCATTAACCAGCTGTGTGAGTGTGAGGCCTTGGACTAGTTACTGGCCCAAGATGAATTTCAGTTTTGTGGTTGTAATAGCAGGTTCTGACTCATGACCTTTAAAGCTCTTCTCTGCTCTAAAATTCTATACTTTGGAGATTTATCCTTGAGCTTTCACAATTTTTAAACCATATTGCTTCTAATTACAATTCTGTTCTTTTGTGAAAATATAATCTTTGTCTTTTTAGGCAGGATTGGCAGGAGTATACCATAATGAAAACCAAGGGTTCTCTTCCTTATATCTTTGATAGCGTTGTAGATTCAAAAGGCAAATAATTATCCTTTTCCTCTTTATTTAGAATAGCACTGAATTTAACTCATTGTTTAACTCATCAATGTTTTAAGTAAAAAGCAATATTAATATTAGAAAAATAGACTGATATCTGAGTTCAGTTTTAAATTTTTAAAAATATCAAAATGAGACACTTTTCACAGCAAGCCTTTTATGTATCAGATACAAATACAGACAAGCTCAAGCCATTTAGATGCATGTATGCACTGTAAATCCCATTGCCGCCAAAGTGGGAGCTCCTGGAAATAGCTTCAAATATGGAAAAAGACATTTATTTATTATGATAACTCTAGGAGAGAAACTATAACAGATAATGTTAATTTCCACTTTAATTTCCAAATATACAAGAAATATCAGTGGGTGAAGTTTTCCAGGTGATCCCTACAGGTGAATGTTGTAAGAGCTACAGCACTCTGTCACGCGTGTGTGTAGGACTCCTGTGTAGACACACAGGGACACACCAAGTGTGCCCTGAGTCTCTCACATTGCAGATTTCTGCTCATATTCATGGTCTCATGGAGCTTTTACAGTACATACTGCCCCTCACCCCACCCCAGCAGCCTGGCTCTGAAAGTCTATGGTGTTTCCAGTGTGCAGTGAAGTGTTTAGAACCTAATTAATTGCTCTCTGTTGTGTAACTGAATGAGCCCATTCCCATAACTAAGCCAGCATAGCCTCCAGCAGGGCTTCAGTGTATCTGTAAAGCTGAGCACAGAGTCAAGGCTTAACTAATATTTGCTGATTAAATAAATCAGATGCCAAAAAACTTTGTTTAAAATTGGAACAAATTTGTACTCTAGCTCAGTTCCTCTCAATATTTGTAACTCAGCATTTGATTTTGGTGTGCACTTAAAGGACATTTTTACACTGGAAAAGTGTTCAGAACAATATTATACTAAAAAAAATCAATACTTTTACATTCAAATCTCCCTAACTTTCTCAAAATATCCTAATGTTATAGTTGCTTGTCTAAAATGACCTATTTAAGTCTATTTTGGTTTCTTTCTTGGCACTGATTTGTTGAAAGGACCAGATCTGTTATCCCCCAAATGTTTCACATTCTATAGTTCTCTGGTTGCTTGCTCCTGGTATCATTTAGCTCCTCCCTTTATGTTCTGTGCTTCTTGTAACCTGAAGGTCACAACTGTTACTATAATTCTGGTTTAATGCTTTTGGTAATAATATTTCATGGATAATAATATGAAGCTCATATTGTAACACATGAGAAATGTACTGCCTTGCTGTTGACTTATCATTGTTAAAATTAGTCCCTGGATTAAGGTAATGACAGGTTGATCTCTCCACTGTACCCAAGAGTAAACTTTGTAATCTAGCCAATGGCCATAGATTACATTGAAATTATAAATATTCTTATCTACACCCTGGGCCATTAAAGATGGCATTTAACCAGCCATGTTAGAGCACTGTAATTTTCAAAGAGTAACATTTTAATGCTACGCTAGGACAGATCTTCTAATTGTGTCAAAATTTTCCCTGATGTATTTATTGTTATGAATTTTAATTCATTTAATTATCATCTGTGGTGACTACCATTTATGTTGGCATGTATTTCCTTTGTATTAAACACTGGCATGGGGACCAGGGTTTTAGCTCAGTTGTATAAGCACCTGCCTAGCAAGCATGAGGTTGTGAGTTTGATCCCAGATACCAATAATAATAATAAAAAAAGATGGCTAAACACTGGCATGTATTTCCTCTGTATTATGACTATTTAGTATTTCAATAAAATAATAGTGAAAACAAAAGTGACCTTATATCTTTGGCTCATGGATGCAATCTTAGGTTTGGAATAAACAGGGGATGTGTCTTGTTGTAGTTTCAGACAAGGTGACCCAGTACAGGGAATTTGGTTAGCCTGCCGTGAGATTAGACACACCCACCAGACACCCAATTATGCTCTCAATTCCTGGAAGCAAGAGCTGACCCAACCAGGCCAGAAGACAGCAGTATCCAAAGAGAAACAGAAGAATAAAAATTGTGATAATGAATTAGGCAACTTTCTAAAAATATTCAATGAGGAGGACACTAAATTGTACCTTATTTAATAAAGATGAAGGTCCTCTTAATCTGCAAAATTCTACTCTTGGGGACCAAAAAGATAGGGGAAAGATCCACTCTATGTTGCTCCAGTAACATGGACGCTGTAGTCATCTGGAGTGCTCAGCGAAGGTGTGGTGGCAAAGGCTGTCCTCTACCAGCCTGCTTAGCAAGGACCTACATAGGGCTTCTTCCCAGGTGAACGCCATCAAGAGGGTTCCATTTTTTCATAGGGGGAATCTCATGATCATTTTGACATGGAAAATTCTGCATGGGTCTGCTCCACACATCAATGGATGCTTACCATTACTCCTAGTCACTGTGACTGTCAGATATGCCTTTTAGGCATTTCTAAGCATGACTGGAAAGTGTGCCTGCATGTTTGTGTGTAAAATGGGAGCAAGAGAATCTTCAGCTGGGAATGAATTGTTTCTTAATCCATTCAGGCTACAATAACAAAAATACCATAGGCTTATAAACAACAGGAATTTATTTCTCATAGATCTGGAGGCCAGGAGGTCCAAGATAAGTTACTAGCAGATGTGTTGTCTGACCAGGGCCTACTTTCTGATTCATAGATAACCTAATTTGTAGAGATCTTCTTCACATAGTGAAGAGCACTAATTCTGTTCTTGGGGTCTCCTCCCTCATGACCTAATCACCTCCCAAAGCCTTTGTTCCCAACACTATCGCAGTGGAAGCTAGAGTATCACTGTCTGCGTTAAGGAAGACGCACACCTTCAGTCTATAGCAGCTGGGTCCTGTAGAGCACTGGGAAGTTAATTATAGGACAGGGCAGATGTGGTGCCTCGATCCAACTGCCTTGCTCCTTTATGCTACACAGACGTACACTCTGGGTTATGTTGGGGGGGACACAGCAAATAGGAACTCATGGGCCCTCGGTGCCTCTGTGATTCTCAGGGGATACCTGCAGTCTCTCATTTCCCAAGCTTCTCTCCTTTTTCTGTTTTGCTCAGCTTTTTTCCTTCCCAGTTTAACTTTGCCTTCCCTCATTTTTCCTTTGGGGTTTTGTCCAGCAGAAGGAGCTGATATAGTTTGAACAACTGCCCAGTAGAGGCCCAGGTGTTGATCTCCAGCTCCATGCTATGGGGAAGTGGTGGAGGCCTTTTAGGGAGGGCTGAGTGACAGGTCCTTCAATCTTTGGGCCGGTGCCTTTGGAAGGGATTCTCTCCTTGCCATTCCCTGCTGTGTGGTGAATAGTTTACTCTATGCATACTGCCATGATGGGTTCCCTTCTTCCCCACCAGAGGCCTAAAGCAATAGGTCATGGGCTGAAGAACTGAGAGTCAAATAAACCTTTTCGCTGCATGTATTGCCTCAGGAATACATTACAGAAAATACATTACAGAAAACTGACCCACACAGAAGTCATCCCCAGTGTGTTCAGTTCCAGAGTGGCAAACACATGGCCCCACAAACACATTTTGATGGAAAAGCACAGAGACTTGACTTTTGTTTCTTAATTTGGTCACCAGATTTTTAAAATAAAAAGTTAGATTTTTCTATTTCTGTTGAGAAATAGATGGAGTGCACAAAGTCCACATTTCAGCAGGATAACACTGGATGAAGCAAGGTTGGGGGGGCGTCACTTGGGGACTCCAGTGCATTACCCTTCCCTTGACAGTGTCTACTCACATCCAGGGAGTACCATTCCCATCCACTTCCTGCTGCCTCTGCCAAGAGAAGAATGAATGGGGTAGAGGGTGGGCCTGGGGGCGAGAGACATTAAAAAAGGCCCAGGATATCTCCACTTTGGTCTGTGACTTCTCTTCCCTAGTGTCTGCTCTTGGACTCATCAAGGGCCCAGGCCAGCCAGGCAAACAAGTTGCTAGGCAGCAGGTGAAATTGACATCATCCTCCTGAGTGTATAAATAAAGGTGGTTTTTTGCTGGAGCAGGTCCTTTTCTTCCATCAGGAGACAGGGCTTCACCTGACCTCAGCTTTTGTCTTTTTTCTTTATTTTCCCATCCTTCCCTCCAGGAACTTTGAAGCTGCTCTGATACCAAGGAACTAGAGTTCTAATGTTGAATGTATTTGTGACTGGTTTTTCTGGGTGACCATGAATGAGCCACTTTACCTTGAGATTTAAAAATAAGACTTGGGTTAAATAATCTATAAGCTGCTTTTCCTGTCTGATAGTCATGATTCTAAAGTTCAGGCACACACACACACACACACACACACACACACACACTCTCTCTCTCTCTCTCTCTCTCTCTCTCTCTTCTCTGAGAGTTGCTGAGCAGCTCCTCGGGGAAACTGGGTGGGACACCTGAGGTACACTCAAGCATGGAAGAGCAGTCACAAAATCAGCCTGGGGCTGCTGCTCCTGGCTGGCAGGAATCTCCCACTTTCCTACAATGTGGTTCTTAAGTCCTATATTTATGGCTAATAGAGAATTAACACACAGAATATTATTTTTGCAAATCAGAAAGAGATCTGGAGATAGAAGGTGGTGAAGTTTGCACAATATGTATTAAATTATTTAATACCACTGAAGTATGTACTTAAAATGGTTAAGATGGTAAGTGTTGTTACATTTTACCACAGTGAAAATACTGGTTTGACTTAACAGTAAAACATGAAGTTTGTAGCATGCCGTTGAAGCTGGAGATTGATCACATGTGGGGGGCTAAAGCAAGGCCAGCCCAGAAAAAACAGAGAGACCAAAACAAGCTAGGGAGACAAGTTGTTCCAGCACCAAGAAGGCAAGGGGCCCGGACTGCCAAGCAATGGGTTGCTAGGCAGAGGGGCTAAAATTGACATCATCTTTCCCAGTATATAACTAAAGGTGCTATAGGGGTTGAGCAGTTCCTTTCCTCCCATCGGGAGGATAAGGGCTCCACCTGACCCCAGCTTCCTCTTTCCTTTATTTTTCTCATCTTCTCGTGGGTCCCTAACCCCAAGAATCTCAGGAGCCGCACTGGCTCACGGCAGAAGTCCTGAGTAAGAATCAACCCTCTGGAAAGATACTGTTAAATAGAATTCATTGGAAGCCACTGATTTAGACTGAGTTTCAAAATGGAGTCACTCTTGCTCAAGTTTCACATCACCGAACAGTTGAAGCCAAACTGTTCATCTGTCTTCTAAGAAATCAGGAAAATGAGAGAAAATAACCAAATCGTCACACAGGTTTAGCTCACACGATAAGGAAGTTGCCTCTGCTTTAACTTTTCCAGGAAAAGAAACTTTGCAAAGAGCAAAGTGCTTTTGCTCTTTCATTTTGCTCTCTTCATCCTTCTTCTGCCTGTAAAACCAACCTCCTTGGCAGGGCTGATTGCCACACTCACTGTATTTTATGAAATGAGACAGTGCCTAATTCAGGACTGCAAATAAAGTCCTATTAAGGTATTTAAACTAAATTTGCTAGAATTGTGCCTTTTATTTTCTGTAAGTAGATTAAATGCATGTTCTATAACCACAAATGGGGGGAGGGTAAAAATACTTCAAGATAGAACAATTTAAAATTCATGCTGCCACACAACGATGTGGTAAAAGTATGTGTCCACGCAAAGGAGATCATGGTGCCACACAGTGACATTTCAAGACTGTGTGAGGAAGAGAAATGTTGCTGCTGTTAACTGGAAGAAACAGCACCAAAAATAAAAGTGAAGTATGGAAAATGATTATGGAGAAATAAATGGAGAAAGGCTGGAGGGGAAAAGGCAAAATGAGTCCCTTGTCCAGGTAGGTATATTGTTTTGTTTTTTGATTTATAATGCATCTCATGAAAGAGTGGAAATAGCTCAGTGGAAAGGATGTTTGCCTAGCATGTATAAAGCCCCTGGTACCAGAAAAAAAACTTTAAAAATTTGGTTAGAATATTTACTTGACAAGTAATAATTAGAGTGGAATAAAACAGAATTCCCGAGGCTCTAGCTCACAGAAAAGGAACTGCTCTACAACATACAGATTATAATTTCTTAGAGAAGAAATAACTTTATTTTCAATATCAGTGCAGTGAACAAATGCAAGGCGTTGATGAGAAGACGACAGAGACACCTTTATTGACACACAGCATGGATTACTCTGGGTTTGTCTAGTCAACCACACAAAGGTTTTCAATTTTGACTGTTCCAGTGACAGCTCTTGAATCCATGCAGTTCTTTTCTCCAATATATGACTTTTCCTAGAAAATTTCAAGCTCTTGGGAAAAAAAAAACCTATTTCTATTACCCTGGCAATGCCTAGCACCATGCTGGGCTTCTACTCAACTTTCCTGCCAGATGAACTGTGTAGTTTGCATCTGGAATGCCCCCCAGAGGCCCATGTTGAGGGTTTGGCCCTCAGCCTGTGTGCTACCGGTAGGGGGCAGAATTTTAAGAAGGTGGGATTCCAAGAAGGAAGGTAAACCGTCAAGGGGTGAATCCCAAGGATACTGAGAACTCATCCCATCCTCTCTTCCTCCTTTCTTCCTGACCACCATGAAGTACAGAGAAATCCTCTATTATACTATATATACTTGCCGCACTGTACTGTACTGTACTGTGCTGTGCCACCACAGGCCCAGAAGAATGTGGTTAAACTGTCATGGACTGAATCATCTGAAGCTGTAAGCCACAGAAACTGGGCCTCCTTTTAGGTTGATTTTCCCTGGTATTTTGCCACAATAACCGAAAGCTGACTAATACAAATGCTGAGACAGACTCAGACTATCTGGCATTTCTTTTAATCAAGCCTGAAAAATGTGAGCTAGATCCAAATACATGCACAAGAAAGCTCACAAGTGTTGTATGTCAGAAGGTCCAAGTTCTAGAGTCTCACATCTCCTATGTTGTTATGCTGTTCAACAGGGGATACAACAGCATCTCTTGTTAGAATGGCTTGATGTTAATTACATGGTTTGGCCATATTATGGGTCATTCATGTTCCTGGAAGCCAATTATGGACACACAAGAGAAGCTGACTCTTGGTCCAGTGATGTGAAACATCTAATGTCTTCCCCTAGGCTTCCAAGAAGGGTTCTCAAACTCCTAAAAGTGTACTGCAAGCCTCTTTTTCCATCTAGTCTTGAGCTCAGTAGATGTAGGCCTTGGCCTTTCCTTGTGGTAAGGAATACAGAACAAATACAGTGTCTGTAAGTTTCTGAACATACTAAGATTTTCTTGTATTCCCAAGCAGTGGCTGTAGAAATAGCCCTGCAGTTCCAAACACACAGACAATGATAAATGCCCAAAGAAATATTCTATCAACCACCATGGCCACATATTTCCAGTCGTCTTCTACCTGAAATGCAAACAAAAAACAATCAAAACTATTTTTAGAAATCAAAACTATAGGAATCGTGCTTCATTGAGAAACAAGCTTCTTTTCAAAGATCACCTTGGTATTTTTTAAAGGGAAAATGGTATTATTTTCTTTTTTTTGTCTTTTTCCTTTTTATCAGTACCGGGGATGGAACTCATGACTGCCTGCTTGCAAGGCAGGTGCTTATGCCGCTGAGCTAAATCTCCAGCCCCTTATTTTTTATTACCCCATGTCTTCCTAATTTAGTTTTGTCTGAAGAGAGTGGATGGCCCTCTATTGGTGCCTTATAGACATGGCTATGGATAAGCCAGGTTCCCTAGGGCCCAGAGGGAACATTCCCAGGAAGTAGCTGCTCAGAGCGCTCAACTAGTGCCATTTACACCACTGAGCCTAATTTAATCAGCATCTAAATCCATTCTAAGTAGAATAAATGGCACTGAAGCTGACGAGTGGCAGGAGAGGAGTGTAAACCTTCTACAACTGTGTTGTACCTGCCAGCAGCTCCCCAATCATTTCTCTCTCCTCGTGGGGAAGCTCTGAGCTTCCCACCCTTCCCTTTGCACTGTTTCTTGAGCAAAGAATTTGGTTTCATTAACCAAGGCTGCCCTAAACATGTGTTTTAACCAGCTCTCACTTGACCAACCTGGGACATGGAGATTTACTGTTCCCACCCCTCAGGTCACCTCATGATAACCCAAGCAGCTTGACCTTCTCACACACAAGACTCGCTCTGAGACTTGGACTGTGTCTCTGAAGCTCCTCTGCATCTGCAGGGGACACAAGCTGGCTGCCTGTGAGGAGACATTTACCTCTTTCCTTTCATTGTGGCTTTTCATGTTTTCTGCTATGAATTGAACACTATTAATCACATCTTCTACCTCCGGAAAATGTTCTGGGTATTGGTTCGCCCACTGTGGAGGCTGATGACTTGACATTCTCTTGCTGGCCACAAATTCACCTGACTTCTGACAGTGACAGTGTTCCTTAAGAAATGTGGGTTCTCTGTGATTTGTGAACTTGGCCTTGGCAGGCCGAGTGGAGAGGCCCCTGGGGTTTTTATCACAGCCTGTCATCTTCTTCCTGTCCAGAGGCCTCCTCATCATCAGGAGCTGAGGGAACAGCTGGAGGAAAATTGTCTTCACCCACCTGGGCATGGTGTGTGTGGCTGGGGTGCGGTAGTGTATGTTCAACACAAATACGGTCACCACAATGGACAGAGTGACAAAAATCATGGTGAACAGCAGGTACTCACCTACCAGTGGGATGACGAGAGATGTGGATGGGATAGTTTCTGTAATTACCAACAAAAACACAGTCAGAGAAAGTAAAACTGAAATGCAAAGTGTCACTTTTTCGCCACAGTCCGAAGGAAGGTAAAAGACCAACACGGTTAGAAATGAAATAAAGAGGCAGGGGATGATCAAATTAATGGTGTAAAACATGGGCAACCTCCTAATGTAAAAAGAATAGGTTATATCTGTGTATATCTCTTCACAACAGTTGTATTTGATGTCATGCTTGTAGCCAGAAGCATCAACAATTTCCCATTCACTGTTTTCCCAATAGTCATTCATATCCACTTTAGAGCCAATAATTAGGAGGTCAATTTCAGCCTTGTCATATGTCCAGGAACCAAATTTCAGGGAACAATTTTGATGATCAAAAGGGAAAAAGGTGATATCCATAGGACATGAACTCTTAAAAATAGCTGGGGGAGTCCAGGTGATAGTGCCATTGTATTTAAGAAGAGCTTTTGTCTTGCCTGCAACTTGGAAGTCACCCACAGCACTGCAAAGGAAATGAGACCCCATCAGTAGTGGCCCACAAGCTCGCCCCAGAGCGACTTGGAAAGAAACTGCTGGGTTAGACACTCATACTTGTTATAAAGAACAATGTCAGGCTTCCAAATCTTCTCTGCTGGGACATGAAGAGTTTCAATGCCGTCATATTCCTTTGGATCCCAGCGTAATTTATAATCATTCCAGATCTAAAAGAAACAAAAAGCAGCTTTAAAATAAGTCTTAATAACTTTTTTTAAAAACCAAAGTTGGTTTAACTTTTTCGGGGAAAAAATTCTTATTTGAAGAATTACTTGATTTCTTTCATTTTGTTTTTGTTTTGAGATAAGGATTTCATTATGCAGTTCAGGCTGACCTTGAACTTACTAGGTGGTCTAGGCTGGCCTCAAACTCATAGTGATCCTCCTGCCTCAGCTTCCTGAGTTCTGTAATTGCAGGACCAACATGCCAGCACAAAGAATACATTGGTTTCCATTAAGAGTTGAGAAATTATATCCATGGGAAAGAGTCAACCTGGTTTGTAAATATTTAAGTAGGTAATTATCCATTGATTGTTAGCCTAGGTCATGGGCTTACCTTTCACATTCCATGGACTATTGTCAAACTGTAGTAGTAACTCTTTTCTTATATTTAAAATGCAACTCATGTGTTTGACTATGTATTAATATGTTACAAAATCTGTGTAAAACTTAAGGAGTTCTTAAGTGAGGAAAGTTTACTGATAAAACCAGGTGGTGGGAATTTAACATCCAGGCTCTTGAGCTCAGTTACTGACTGCTGGGGCCCTGGGCCAGCAGGGATCGCAGAGCCAGCAAGCATCAGACCCTGGAACATAAGCTGCTAACAAGACAGACATCTGGGAACAGAGAACAGAAAGGACAGGAGTCTGTAAGCCACCAGGTTCCTGCACCTGTGAAACACACATGAAGCCAGCTGTCACCAGTGCTGAATGTTAGACTTTGGAGACAAAGAGTAGGTTTTCTTTATTTATGTAGTTAGTCTTTTGAGACAAGGTCTCACTATGTAGTTCAGGCTGGCCTTGAATTCATTTTGTGGTCCAGGCTAGCCTTAAACTTCCAGTTATCCTCCTGCCTCAACCTCCTGAGTGCTAACATTACAGGTGCGCACCACCACACCCAGCATAGTAGGTCATGTTTTATATCTATCACAAGTTAGAGATGGAAGTAGGCAAGGCTTGTAGATTCCATCTGCCCAGCAATGTTGCATGTACCCTTGAGCACTAGCATCAGGCAGAGAGACACATGATAGACACCTACATGACGCAGCCATAGATTGGTTTCCATGATCTGGTTTACTTCATCCTGGGAAAAAGAAATAATACCTTTAGGCTTAAATGTACTTGCTAATAGAGGCAGGTCTTACAGCAAGAATGGCAGCAGACAAAAGACAACTCTGCATCATTCATGCCAGTGAGGAAAGCAAGAAAACTGAAGAGTGCAAAAAGTTTTGGGCATTCAACCAGGAACACAGTATTTCTACATGCGGCCTGGACTCTGGACTCTGAATGGAAATGTGTGTTAAGCAAAAGATATAAGGAGTAAAAATAAGCAGTAAGGAGGAGTGTGACATGAACATATACATACGAACACTGACCCTAAAGCCCCTCTTCCCCAGCTGTGCCCTGGGGTTCCCAGGTGCTTCGCCCACCTGCCCTAGGTGCTAACCTGAAATTGTTGCCTCTACTCCCACTGCAGTTCGTGGGCTGGATTCTGCTGTTCACCCACCACACATCTCTTGCTCCCGCCTAAGATACCACTTCTAGTATTTGTGATGCAAATCTGTATTTTGTAGCCACAACATGGTGGGAAGAATGCCTGCCTGTGCACGCCTTAGTTGTTAGATGGGTGAGAATGCACTTAATAATATGCATGTATGTGGACACGTAACATAAAAGAAGGATGATAAAGAGGCATGGAGTGGTGCACACATCTGTTTTAGAGGAGACAGTCCCAGGTGGCTCCTCTGCGGAGACTATGGATAACTAGATACTTGAGTGGGATAGAGACAGAACTGTCTGAGGGAAAGCATTGGAAGCTGACATCCCCGAGATAAAGAATCCTCAGTAGTCACCAACTCCTGGAGGAAGCTCCTGAAGGCAGACTAAGAACTGTTGAGGCAGCTTCACAACACCAGTGTGGAGGCTGCTGACCAAGTGGCCAGGTGGTCCTTAAGTTACCCTCAGTGACCAGCATCAGTGTATTTCACACCTGTTCAGCCAACCCTGGCTTCAAGATGCTCCAGCATGCTCCACAGTAAGGGGGCTCGTGCAGTCCTAAGCTCAGGTCCCGTGCATGCCACTCACTCAGAGCCTTCTGCTTCCCTCCAGGCCTGTGCTGCGCCTTTCCCAGACAGCTCTGTGCAGACAGCTTCATCAAGCTTCTGCCTTCCAAGGGCTGATGCTAAGACTGGGTGGCCAGGGTGAAAACTGCCAGCCAGAGAAGCTGTATTCATGGTTTCTCTCTCTACCCAGAGAACAAAAAATGGGTTGTCCTCATCCACTGAACCAGCAAGGGCCAACACAACTTTCCAGTCAGCCCAGCCCAAGAGCAGAGCTTCTGGTCACATCTGTCACGCTGCAATCTGCAGTCTAGCAGGAGTCACAGCAATAAAGGACTCTGCAGCCTTGGTTTCAAAAGGATCTCAGAGGTAACAGGCCTAAGCCTGGGGATCTTCGCAAGCCTGCTCCTGCTCTGGATTAGGGCGCTGCGTTCAGGGAGTGGAAATATCAGCTGGTGACGACCATGTGGTCTGGCAATCGCACTTCTGGCCATCTGTCTCAGAGAAAGGAAGACTAGGCACACACACTCCAATGCTCACAGCAGCTTTATCTGCAACAGCTCGGTCCCTGGAATTGGCCTAAATGATCTTCACCAAGTAGAAGGCTAAACTGTGGTGCATAAGCACCATAGACTGATACTCTGCAAGGAACTGATGGAGGAATTATGATGAATAAAAAAAAATGATCCCATAAAACTGTGATCCAATTTATGTCTCATGTTCTTGAATTAGCATTTTAGAAATAGAGGAGAGCTTAGTGGGAGAACTGAGGAAAGTGTACGAGGGCTTCCTCTATTATTCCTTACAGCTACACTTGAATCTATAATTATTTCAGAGTGTTAAATTTCAATTTTAAAATTTCTCTTGCAGTTTGGAAGGGATAAGGAGACAGAAATCTAGAAGATTTAAGGAAAGTCACAGACTTTCTTCCGTGTGCCCCTTCTATCGTTTTCTCCTTGTCTTCTTTTAGCCGAGAACGTGAATATGAACACGAACATGCATATGGTAGGATGAGAGGAAACACAGCCGCTATGTTGAACCAGGAGGCAATGCTAAGGCTGAAATCACATGTGCAGGGTGATGCAACAGAAAGAGAAGGCATCTGAATCGCCGCTGTCATGTCCAGTCTATGCTTTCAGATCAGCATTCAGGCGATGTCCCCTGCTGTTGTATAGTGTATAACCTGGGCAACCAACCAATGCTCTACCTGCTGACCTCAGGAGATACTTGGTGTTGACCTGCCAGCCTGCAAACCTTTAGGTTTCATTACGTAAGGAAGTAATAAACTTGTTTTATTTAAGTTGTGCTTTTAAAAATCCCTGACACTGGTAGCCAAATACAAAATGTAAAAAGCTACCTCCAGCAAATCCTACCCTGCAGCCTCTAGAGAACAGGGTGCTGAAAGCCCCTCAATGGAGGATTTGCATATCACTGTACAAAGAGGCAGCCTTCAGAGGACCTGATCCACAGCAAGGGTGGCTTCCCACCAGGACAAAGCCTTGACTGGCACTAAGCTTCTGGGTGTGGTAAAGGGATCAGGTTGTACTGGGATTAGCGGCACATGGGGGCAGAGGAAAACATCTGGCTTTTTAGAACCAGTATCTGGCAGTGCGTGGCCATCTGGACTTCACTGGAGCTGAGGATCAAACCAGGTCAGTTATGTCCAGTGGGTAGCAAGGGCTACAGAAGCAGGTGCAGCCTGATGTCCACTGCAAAAGAACCTCCCAGGCCACCCCAACTCGTGTCCAGTGGCCGTCTCCAGCAGGGCTGAGGCTGGCAGCAGGGCGGGGAACTGAGGCACCTTTCCTGCTGTCCAGTGCTCTCTAGAGTCCCTGCTGGGCACGTAGGAGACCTCCCTGGCTTCCGAAGCCCACCTCTTCTGGGAATCTGGCCAGAGATGCAGCCCACCCTGAAGTGTCCTCTGCAGGCCCAGTCCCTGGCCTTTGCCTTGGTGAAGCAGGTCCCCTGCCCTCTCCCCTGCATCAGGGATAAAGATAAGAGGGAGGGGGAACCCAGAAAGTGGGAGAAGCAAGGGCAAGGTGGAGCAAGTCAGTCCTATTACAGACAGCTACATTAATGCACAGCTAGAGAGGGACTGGGCCAACAGTAAGTCAGTGAAAAATAAACACATTGGAACTGTGGCTGGAGACACAACTGAAGAAAGCCAGGCCTCAAGACAGTAATGCAACCACCATACTTCTGAAGGGGTCAGCAGTGACTTTGAGTCATCCTGTAATTTGGAAACACCTGGTCCAGTGAGTCCAGTTAGGTTACCCAGGAAGGTGACCAGAGCAAAAAATGCCTTTGTGATTTCCATGTACCCTTGCTATGTGCCCAACTTCCCTAGTGGATAAATATTAGCTAAGTGACTATACACTGTTCCTATTGGCTGATTATAGTTTGACCCAGTTTGTAATTTTGTACCCACCTCATTATTTTGGCCTATAAAACATACTTAAGAAAAATGATCTTTGTGGCAACACACTTTTTGATCCCTTTCTGCCTCTCAGGAATGATCTCTCAGTGAATCTTTCCTATTCCTAACCTTAGATGTTTCTTAGAATTCCATCTTTAGTTGGGGAAAGCCATGAATTCAGCCTATCTAACATCTAGCAGGTTGGGGAGATCTGTTTCTCCTATATCTGTCCTAGTCGCCTTGGAACATGGTCACAGCCTATTACAAAATGTACTCAGCCTGTCACACTTGTAATCTCAGCACTCTGAGAGGCTGAAGCAGGAGGATCTCAAATTCAAGCCCAACCTGAGCAAATCAATGACTTAGACCCTGTCTCTCTCTCTCTCTCTCTCTCTCTCTCTCTCTCTCTCTCTCTTTCTCTCTCTCTCTGTCTCTGTCTCTGTCTCTCTCTCTCTCTCTCTCTCTCTCTCTCTCACACACACACACACACACACACACACACACACACACACACACACAGAGGACTTGAGACGCAACTTAGTGTTCAGCCCATGAGTTTACTCTTAATTATGGGTGTGAAGGGATTTTAAATTTCCAGCTTTTTCGTCCCCAGAGCCTGGTGGAGCCATATATGAAAGAAACGAATTTTCTGAGATAATATGGAAGACTTAAGGCAACTATCTTTCTGTGGAGCTGATCGCCTGCTTTCAAACTGGGCCTCAGCCTTCCCTTTGCAGTGTGTGTGTGCCTTGGGGACAGACCTTAGCTTCCCGTCTTGCAGGGAGGGGGTCAGGAAGATGCTCCTGGCGCCCAGTGATCGCACTACTGTGAGCCTCAGCCCGCCTCGACCCGAATCTGGCAGGCTCTGAGGGCGATGCCCAAGGATCTGTGCGCATGCGTGCCTGGGTGTACCATCTCGGGTTGGCCAGGTGCACTCGTGCTACAGCGGGGACACCAGGGACAGCGGGGACTGCCCGGCTCCTGGGTCGTCGGCCCTGCCGTCGGCTGGTGTTTTGCACTCACCACATTGGCCAATTGCGTGATCGCCACTTCGAAGTGCACAGTGACAGGGTCGGACACGTTCTCCGCTGGCCGGATGAACCGATTGTAACTGAAAAACAGCCTGTGGAACAGCAGCTCTTCGGAAGCGCACCCGGCGCCGCCTGCCGGCCAGGGAGGGAGTGAACGCAGGCGCTCCCGCTCCCTCCACGCACCGCCCTGACCCCCCCTCCCGCTCCCCCCCACCCGCGGCCCTGACCCCGCCCCCCTCCCCGCGGCGCCCTGGAGTCCCAGCCCGGCATCCCTCTGCCCACCAGGGAGGGTTCCCTCTCTTCTCTGATCCCCGTTCTTCCCTTTTACTTTTAAGATACAAAGGATTATGTCTGTCACTCAGCAGGAAAGCTAGATCAAAGAGAAAAACGTCCCAAGAGAAGAGAGGAGAAGATTTTTTTGTTTTGTCTTGTTTTTTCTTTTTGAGACAGGGTCTCGCTGTGCAGTTCAGGCTGGTCTTGAGCTCACTTTGTTGCCCAGGCTGGTCTGGAACTCGCAACGATCCTTCTGCCTCAGCCTCCCGGATTACATGCATGAGCCACCACGCCCGGCTCTTGAGAAGATTTTGAGTGGCTCAAAGTAACTTTCTGGTCTGGAGCCCTCAGCCCTGCCCTTTGGGTGGCAGCGCGGGACAGACCCCCAGGGCTTCCAAGTCGGACTGCTTTTTAAAGTCAGCTTCAAAATTGAATCATTTTTAAGATTTATGAGACTTATGAGGGTTTAAAAAGCAAAACTACTTAAAATCTTTTTTAAATCATTCAACATTGGTTCTTAAATAGTAACGTTTTCAGTTATTAAATTCTAGACAATCCTTTGTGCTATTTCCAACATAGAGGAACATCAAATTCATTCATGAATACCCACTTAAACACATTTCCTACATTTCCCCTTCGAGAATTCAAATTCAACATCTGAAGCATGACTCCGCGAATTACTCAGACATTAGGTACTTTGAAAGAAAGAGTAGGAAAGAAAGAAAGGAATCAAAGAGCCCATCAATGCAAAAATGAACAGGACAATAGTTACACTGCTAAATGAAGAGGTAAAAGGACCATAAGTTCAAGGCCAGCCTGGGCAATTTAGCAAGACCCTGTCTTGGGGGAAAGATTAAAATAAAAAAGCTGAAAATGTAGCTTGGTGCAAAGGATATGGGTTGGGTTCAATCCTGCAATAATTTACTGCAGTAATTTACTTTACTGCAATAAATAAATAAATAAATAAATAGTAAATAGATTAATAGGTAAGTTGAAGGGGCTTGGGAAAGCAGCTCAGGGTTAGAGCAACCATGATTTGATCCCTAGTTTTAAAGACAGGGAGTTAACAAATGGTTCTGAAACAGATTTTAGCAAAAAATAAAATATAAAATGTAAAATATCCTATTTGCTATCATAATAATCACATGGATAGAATATATACATAACAGAGAGATAGATTGAAAACCATATCATTCTTACAATATTCTAATTGGGAAAAATTCCAATTAGAAAAATAACCTATGCTTTAGGGAGTGTTTCATGTCTCTCCAACACTGCAACCCCTGACTCTCTGGTTCGTGCATCTCACAAATGAAGCCTGGATTTCGCCAGCAGTCTGACAACTGTGCTGCTCACGAGCTTTGCACACTAACAGGGACCCTCCGGTCTGCTCAGTCAGGCAGAAGAGAGCAAATACACAGAGCTAAAAATGTTATGGGAGGCAAGCAGAAATAAAACCTACCTTGAAAGAGAGGCATGGAAATACACACCCAGAGCCACAAACCAGGGTGAGGGAGCTCTTGCCCCTTGCCTAGCGGCATGGTTAACAAGGCGCGCAGGCTCCTTTTTGTAGGCAAAGGATTGTGGAAGACAAAGAGCTATCAGGCAGCTCTCCCGACCTGACCTCAAGTCACCGGGAGCCCGCTACAGTCCATACTTGTCTGCTGTGAAATCCAAACACCACTGCATCCTGGGATCAGAGACCAAGGCCTGCGTGAAGGGCAGGTGCGGAGGGCTGCACGCAGAACCAGCTGGGCGGCCACATCTCCAGTCGCTCTTGCTCTTGCCTTGTGAGGGGAGAGAAAAGGCAGCAAAGGAGCTCAGCGCCTGGCAGATCTGCTCTCTCACGCGCAGCCTTTTGGGGGTAAACAAGAGTCTTCCGCGCTCCAGCGATAGCTGCATCACTGCCAGTCACGCAGCTGCGATGCGGTTTCACTGCATTAATTAGACCTCAACCGTATCCTACACTACGAATTTCCATTCCTATATTTCTAAGTGCAGATTGGAGAAATACAGTTCACTGTTGTTTCTGTATGTGTTTTCTGACGCCTAAACTTTGAGGACTTTGTTCTTTTAAGTACAGTCCCCGCCACACAAGACTGGAGGTCAGATGCCAGAGAGTCAGAGGGGTTCCCCTCCACCACTGGTCCCTAGACATTTTCGTGTGCGTTTAGGGCTTTTGTCACTAACTGACTTTCTTGCAGCTTTCCTCTTTTCTTAAAATGTTTGGTGCCAGCTGAATTTTGATCAGTTGAGCCTTCCAGGTCAGATTCTAGTGCTGGCTGTAGAGGAAGCAGCGCTGAGAAGGGTCTGCCTGGCTTCCCTGCCACGCACTGCAGTTTCCTACCATGCGGTGCATGCCCAAGTGCACTGATTTAGACCAACAGCTTTCAGAATGGTGTGAGTCTCACTTCTCTGGGGGCGGGAAGAACTAATGTTTTTTCTTTTTTTCCCGTATCAAACTTGGACCAAGCTCCATGCTGCGTGCTTCAGGTTGGTGGTCCGAGATGTTACTTGGGTTCTCTCTTCGGTCTATAGATAGGCTTTTGTCCTTAGTCAGGTGTGTGAAGTTTGCAGAGGGCTTCAGATGACAAAAAGTAAGGATAATGCTTTCTGTGGTGGTTGAAATATCACCCTAACTCCAACTTTTCCAAAGAGCAGGTTTTAGTTATTGTTTTTTTTTTTTTCTTTTCATATTTTGGACTACTGTACCTTGTAACTTCAAGAAAATGGCTTTATTCAACTCCCATCAAACAGTTCTTGCAGTTCCTTACCTGCCAGCTTGAAAAACTGCTGTGTAGGAGGAGTCTTTTGGAATGCATCGAATGTTAGCTCTGGCTTTCTTCCGGGAGAACCACATCTGTTCCACTGCACAAGGGCACAGAGTGGGAAGTTCTTGCAATTGTTGTCCTCTTAGTCATGGTAGTCCTTGGAGCTGGAGAAGAAACCTAGGCTCACACATGCTGGGCAGTTGCTACACTACTGAGCTACTAAATGTCCAGGCCACAAGGAATGTTTCTTTTATTTCTTCATTTGTGTAGTGGTTGTGAAGGAGCCTGGACAGAGGCAAAAAATGCAAGTGAAAGAATATGGAGCCAGCTAGACATGAATTTGAGTTCTGTTCTGGGTTGCCTGATGTGATGGCCAGCAAGTTACCAGCAACTTCAGCTTTGTCCTCATCAGAAAAATGTGATTAATTCTATGGTATTAATCATTTACTTTCCCCTGTGCAATTCTTCATGTTATTTTCACTCAGTTGCCTAACACTGCAAACAGGTAACACAAATAGCTCTTGAGACTGGAAATTTTAAGAAGGATATATAAACTTTAAATCCTGTAAGAAGGTAATTCTCCATGCACACCCAGCACAGGAAGGAATCCTTGGACTGATGAGACAAGCACATGCCAGGGTTTGCTTCCTAGGTCTCCTTGGTAGTGCAACAGAGGTGACAACCAACTCCTCCACCTAACTGAACAAGAGATTAACACTTTGGAGGAGAGTTTCATTTCAGGACTGAAGTGTGATGCTACCACAGAGACTGGGCAAGAGAATCCTTGGGTCCTACCTAGGCTTGGAGATGGGGAGAGCTAAGTAGGATCTCCTTGGATCCCTTGGGAGATGGGGGATCAAACTAGGAAACTCACAGGTTGTATTCTGTCAAGGGAGGCCAGGCTTGGAGTAGGGGTGGAGTGAAATTGTCGTAGGGAATGGTCCTGAAAAAGAAGTGGTCTGGTGGTATCTTTGTGGCATGCGTGCCTACATTCAGCAGAACCTAGCAGTGTGAAGCATGATAGGCTACTGGGTGGGTGGTTGATCTGCACTGCAATCATAGTCTTCTGAGTCCTGGTTAAGGGTGAACAGGAGTGGCTTCTGGGGTTTGGCAATACTCATTTTGTCAAATGATGTCACAAATTCACTACTACAGCCAAGGGGCCATAATAGCAGATAACAACTGGTTCTCTTTCTATACCAGTATCTGGAGTTACAGGGAATTGTAATCAATAAAAAACTGAATATACATAGATCTTAGGGCAGCAGGGCATCACAAGAACACTATCGTCCCCCAGTTCTCCTAGATGGAGCAGGGAGTACAAATGCAGAGGAAAGCAAACGCCAGGTAGCAGAACTCTACAAAAAGTTCATAGAGGAAGAAATTAGATGAACTCAAGAGTAATAAATAAAAAACTCATGGCTTTATCATTCAGTATGCTCCAGGCAAATTCAGGGAAATTAGTAAAAATTAGACAACCTGCCCAAAATCGTTCAAAATATGAGTGACAGATTCAAAAAGTATATAGAAAAAGATCTATATGCTGAAAATTATACTACTCTAAAAAAGGAGACTGAAGAGGATATTAGAAAATGGAAGGATATGCCTTGAAAGGCATGGTTAGGTTAGGAAGAATCAACATTGTGAAAATGGCCATACTCCCAAAACTGTTATACAGATTCAAAGCAATCCCATCAACATACCTTACAGCTCTAGAAAAAAAATATTCCTAAAATTCATCTGGAAACAGAAGAAATCTAGAATAGCAAAGTCAGTTCTGGGAAACAAAGGCAAGACAGGAGACATCTCAATTCCTGACTTGAAACTATACTACAAAGCCACAGTAATAAAATCAGCATCACAAAGAATAGACCTGAGAATCAACGGAACAGATTAGAAGATGCAAACACTACTACAAAGACACTCAGCCATCTTATATTTGACAAAGGGGCTAAACATGTTCACTGGAAAAAGATAGCCTCTTTAATAAATGGAGTTCGAAAAACTGGCTTTCTATATGCCAATGACTGAAAATAGACCCATGCCTATCACCATACACTAACTAAAGTCAAAATAGATCAAGAATCTAAATATTAAAAAAGAAACACTAAATCTACTGGAAGACAAAGTGGGTAAAAATCTTGGAGACATAGGGGTAGGGAAAGAATTCATGAATAAAATGCCAACTGCACAGGAAACACGTCAAAGAATCAACAACTGGGATCTCTTATTACTAAAAAGTTTTTGCTCTTCAAAAGAAATCACCAACAAAGTGAAAAGAAAATGCACAGAATTGGAACAAATTTTAGCCAATAATCCCTCAGACAAAGGACTTATATCCAGAACATATAAAGAACTGAAAAATATCAAGTCCCCCAAATTCAAAGACCCTCTCCAAAAATGGGCATCTGAGATTAACACACAGTTCTCTAATGAAGATATATAAATGGCAAATAAATATATGAAATGTTCATCATCACTGGTCATTCAAGAAATTCAAATTAAAACAGCATTGAGATTTCATCTCACCCCAGAAAGAATAGCTTCCATCAAGAAAACAACTGATAACAAATGTTGCAAGATTGCAGGGAAAAAAGGAACACTTCTCCACTGTTGCTTAGGGTGCAGACTGGTGCAGTGACTGTAGAAATCAATATGGAGATACCTCAAAAAACTAGGATTGGAAGTTCCATTCAATCCAACTATTCCCCTCCTGGGTATTTTCCCAGAAAAATTGAAAAGGTCATGTCAAAGAGATATATGTGCACCCATATTCATAGAAGCACAATTTATAATAGCTAAATCTTGGAAACACCAAAATGTCCATCAACTGCAAAGTGGATGAAAAAAATGTAATATTGTTATACAATGGAATACTACTCAGCTATAAAAATGGATGATCTTGAGGCATTTATAGCTAAATGGAGGCAACTTGAAAATATCCTCATTAGTGAAATAAACAAGACTCATATTAATAAATATCACATTGTCTTTCTAGTGTAAAAACTAATAAAAACTGACAGGATAATGGGATCCAAAAAGTATAATATACATTGTGAAAACAAAAGGGAAGGAAAGTGCTCTAAAGAGTATAACAGTATGTATAGTGTGTAAGATAGATGACCATATTACTGAATTTCTGTTGAAACATTGAGCAGAAGGATTTGCACTACCAATGCTTGAGTGTCTAAATAGATTTTATGCTTTAATTTTGTGACTTTGGCAACTAATTTTTAAGATGACAATGAATAATGTATCAACTAGCAATTCTATGATGTTAATTTTTTTGAATTTGGTATTGTTCTACCTTTCTTTTCTGTTTTACTATTTTCTTTAATTTTCTTTTCCTTCTTTGAAAAAAAGAGAACAATATGCAATATAACAACCATTGTTAAATTTCTTTCATTCTGTTTTGAAAAACCTATATTGTTATTGTTTTGAGTTTGCTAAGCCTTTTGTTTTTTGTTTTTCTTTTCTGATTTTTCTCTTTAAAAAAAGTATATAGAATCTTCAAAAGGTGTCAGGCAGAAATATCTTAAATAAAAATCTGTATTTTTGCAAATCTGTATTAATTGCAAAAATGCAATTAATGAATGACCAATGCAAAGATGGAGTGTTTGAAATGGGAGGAAAAAATGATAAATTATCAAGAAGTACTCAAAGAAGTCATAAAAATATGAGAACAAGAAAAGATCATCCAATAGCTACTAGCCAATACTAAGAAGACCAACCTAAGGTAAACTGGAACTAGAGAAAATCTAGAAGATAACTCAGATGGGATTATTACAGAAATCATAGCAGAAAACTCCCCAAATATGAGAAAAGAGTTCAATACCCAAGGAAATGAGGCTTACAGAACACCAAACAACTATGATGAAAAAAAGGCTCACCTGTGGAGGACTACTGGAATGATTGCCCTTGAAAGAAGAGCAATTATCTCCATTTTGGCTCAACCTGGCCCTGTTTCCATATGCTGATATATACAGAGCTGGCTTGGACTTTTCCTTATCTCTTCAGTTGGCTTTAACCAATGCAAGTCGGTCCAACTGAGGTGCTGACGGTAGTCTTTGAAGCAAGGTGACAAGTCAGTATTGCCCTGGCCTGTAGCACCCAAGAAGCATGTGTGAGGTAGGCAAGAAGGAGAGCCATGCTCCACACTGTTGGCTGGCCAACACTGAGCCTCAAGATAAGAGGCTATGACTTCCCAGGGCATAAAAGATTACACATGAGAGCTGGAGCACTGACCCCAAAACCTTAG